AGTAATTTAGGATAGATTTTATTTTGTTTGTTTTCAAGCTAAAAGACTTGTTTTATCGCTTAGCTTGCTAGGGACTAGCAAGAAGCTGGCTGGCGTTTGTGATAAGAGTTTGAAAATACACATTTACTTAGTGGTTTATGGGGATTATTTGTGAGAAATTATGCTTAATTTGGTAAAGTTGCTTAATATTTTCATAATTGTCTTTTATAAGATCACGGGTGTGTTTAAGTGTTTTTCAGGTTATTAGCAATAAATGTTATGCTTGGATGAAGAATCATGTCGGCAATGGAATGAGCGATGGGTAAAAACAAACGGATCGAGAATCGGAGCTGAATCGAAGAAGTTATGGACCTTTGAAGTAAAGAAGAGATTCTAGATTACGCTCTAGTTTGAGCGTGCTTCAGTTTTTTGACAATAACTTGAGCTGTAGACCTAATATAAAGGCAATTCTTTGACTGTTGGAAAGCTGATTCAAAGGGTTACATTTTATATGTTTACCACTTCTCCAGATTCTATCGTTATCGTGCTAAAAAATTGTCATCTCTGAAGTGTTGAGGAATGAGGTGAGATTTGAACTAAAGAAGAAGTTATCACTGTGTCGCAGCACACTTTGTCCAAAATTGACCACGCCATAGCACAATGCTGCAGTACAATGCCGAGGCACAGTCACGACAATTAGGAATTTTTCTTCCATTTTTTTATCAAGAAAATAGGGTTAAGAGTCCTAAACTAAATAGAATTATGGAAAATAAAACCCTAACCCTTGTGGGATATAAATAGAAGTCTTTTAACATTATTTTGGGGATCCTTTGGGGAGAATTAGAGGAGGCTAACGCAAGAGAAGATCAAAGTGACAGAATTTCTGGAGCTTTTGATTTGCAATATAGAGAAGTCTTCTTATTTCTTTCTTGAACTCACGTTTCTTATTTTAATAAAGATGATTGTTTCTTTCATGTTGATTATGAACTTAATTTATTCTCTAGGGATAAGATGTAGCCCAATCTCTTGATTATGTGTTGATTTATTTATGTTGATTTTTATTAAGATTTCTTCCTAGGTTTTATTATTATTCCTAATGCTTTTAATTCTTAAGGGCCCAAGAATTGAATGAATTAATGGACTAAGTTGAGATCAAGAGATGATACTTAGTTGGTTTACGGTAGTAAAACCATAGGTTGAGCGAACGCTAGAGATAAGTTACCGTGACTTGTGAGGTTTTGGTAAACTCCATAGAGCGTAATGATCTTCAATTGCTTAAATCTGATTAGAGATAATTCGAGTTAGTAATTAGGAGTTAATTTGATAATCGTTCGAGAGAAAATTATTGAAAATTTAGGGAGTTTGACCTATAAGAAGAGCTTAATGAAACTAGCATAAGTGATTGATATATATGAATAAGAGTTGGTGTGAAATCTATGCCCTAGGTCTAGTCATCTTGCTTTAAACCCAAAGATTTATTTTAATCAGTTTTCTTTTAATTTCAATTGTTTTTTTTTTCTTTTATTATTATTTAGGTTTTCCTTGATACAATTTGGATTAATCAAATAGTAATACGATAGTTTAATTGGTAATTGATAATAATAATTCCCTTAGGTTCGATATTCGTATTCATACACTTTATTACTTGCACGATTTTGTACACTTGCGAAAATCTACAACACAAGGCAACCAACTTTGCATCCCTAAAATTTCCTTGAGAGAGAAGCTTATTCGAGATTTGCATAGTGGAGGTCTTGCTGGTCACCTAGGGTGTGATAGAACGCTTGCTGCTATTGGTGATCGATATTATTAGCCACATTTGAGGAGAGACATGACAAGGTTTGTGTAGCGATGTTACATATGTCAAACTGCCAGGGGGCAGTCCCAAAACACTGGTTTGTATATGCCTTTACCTATTCTAGAAAATATTTGGGAGAATTTATCTGTGGATTTTGTGCTTGGATTGCCTCGGACACAAAGGGGCGTAGATTCTATTTTTGTTGTGGTTGACAAGTTTTCTAAGATAGCGCACTTTATTCCTTGTAAGAAGACGTCAGATGCAAACTGAACAGCCAAATTGTTTTTCAAGAAGGTTGTCAGTCTGCATGGGGTGCCTAAATCCATACTTTTGATCAAGACAGCAAATTCCTTGGCCATTTTTGGAGAACATTGTGGAAGAAGTTTGATTCCTCTCTGAATTATAGCAATACTGCTCATCCACAAACCGACGGTCAAACTGAAGTTGTGAACAAAACTCTTGGCAATTTGATTTCAAGTATTTGTAGCGATAAACCAAAACAGTGGGATGTAGCTTTATCGCAAGCTGAATTTGCCTACAACAGCACTACTCATAACGCCACAGGGAAGTCTCCTTTTTTTGTTGTGTACACCAAGCCCCCGCAGCATGCTCTCGACTTGATCAAGCTACTGAAAGTCCCTGCTGTTAGTGCAGCTGCAGAAAATATGGCTACTCATTGGCAAGATGTTCAAGCAGAGGTGAACCAGAAGTTAGAGCAAGCTAATACCAAGTATAAGAAAGCTGCAGACCAACATCGCAGAAAACAGATTTTTGAAGTTGGCGATCAAGTGCTGGTGTTTCTTTGCAAGGAAAGGTTTCCAGTAGAGACTTATAATAAGCTACAGCCTAAGAGGTATGGGCATTGCCAGATTTTGCAAAAGATCAATGACAATGCCTACGTTGTGGATCTGCCAGACACAATGGAAATTTCTAAGATGTTTAACATGGCAGATATTTACTCATTTCACTCTTCTGACAAACCCTTGTATCCCGATGCCCAACTTAACTCGAGGTTGAGTTTTTCTTAAGTGGAGGGGACTGACGTAGAATGTCTAGCGGAGAAATTCATGGAGCAGGCTGAGCATCAGAAGTCCATACGTAAAGCCCAAAGATCCTAAATGAGCATGTCTCATTCAAATGGCCATAACTTTTGATCCAAGAGGAGTTACAGGGCCCGTAAGATATCTACGGAAAGCTCTTTTCGAGTCTGACGACGTGGCAACCCAATTTAAGCCATTTGAAGGTTGTTTTCAAGGTCAAAATCCACCGTTTTGGCGTGTTTCAGGAATGTTTTAGTTTTCTACACGATTTTTCTATTTTATTTCGGGTTTTCTTGTTTTAATTAATTTATATTTTTTTCCTTTTGTTATTAGGAGTCTCATTAGGGTTGGTTGTCACCCTATATAAACTTATTTTTCGTTTTGGATGCTATTCAATGAATTATTCAAAATTTATCTCAAACATTGAGGCTTAAGTTTTTGGATTAAAACTTGTTTATCAACCCTAAATGTATAGTCGAGTTCTATCATTGTTTCATTATGCTAACTCGCTACGTCAAGATAAGCATGTCATGTGATTTTGAGAATAATATTCCTCAACCTCTCTGGAAATCTCAATTAAAAGGTCTAATGCTCAAATTAGCCACAAATCTAGAAGTTTGGGTTGTTTCTCCTAGAATTTTTCCAGAGTGATTCAGAAATTTCTGCGAAATGTCACCATCTTTTTCTCTCTTGTCGCCACAACTATACCATATTGCTAGTATTATGACTATACAGACCAAAGCAGTGAGCATAACTCTCCTAATATCCTTCGCTAAAACTACTGAAAAACACTCTGGTTTTAACTTTTCATCTAAGATTTCTAACCGATAATATGAGAGGTATCATCTAAGCACAGCATCAGAACACTGCAGAAGCATATATAAATATAATCAGTTTTCATTTAGTGGGCACAGGGAATTTATGCCAACAATCCATTATCACATAATTAAGAATATGCAAAATTAAAATCATTTCAACGGTGGAGTTCAATCAATCAATCACTTCTCAACAGATGAATTTACTGGAAAAAGTTATCCATGGATATGATGGTCACGGTATCTTTGAAATTTTATATTAGTTCCAGGCTTCCAGCTTTCTGAAATCAATGACACGTCCATGCCCGAAAAGAAAATATCACCCAAGTTCAAACCAATCTCCTCTTTTTCTTTTACTTTTCCTAGCAGGTCAACACATAATTGCTATCCAAAACCTAAATATGAAGACTCTGCCAAGAGCATAACCATGTTCAACCGCTGGGACTGCCTTGGGTTAAAGCATCATGGATATTTTAGTTTAAGCAAAAAAAAGTAGAACTGATAGTGGGAAATTAGATTAAAGAGGAATAAAGATGGAGAATACTGGTTAAAAGCATCTTTATGTGCAAGGTCATACACCCTTAAGCTTTTTGTTTTGCTTTTGCTTTTCTTTGAGCTCACCATTCTGCTTTACTTCTTTGCATTTTCTTTATAATCATTTTTATGTCCTTCCCTTACCGTTAGCTCCACTGAAGAAAGAAAAAAATAGTCTATACAGTACAGGGCCAGCCAAAGTCATTGCATGCCTCAAACAAAATTACTCTACAACCAATACTTGAGATGCTAAAAATATTTGAGTTGTAAAGAGTGAAAAGCAATGTGGTAGCAAGATTATACTGTAACATCAAGTGGAGAAAGAATATATTGTATATTTATTTCTAAAAGATTATCTTTGACAGTATAATAAGATCACTAAGCTTAAAGAATCTAGGAAAGTGAGCATGCACTAATTCTCCTTATTCTAATTTCTAAAAGTCTATCTTTGTCCTCTCAAGTGGGGTATCGATCATCTTATGCCAGTGAAAATTTCAGGATCAAATCTCCTTGAATTCCGTAGACACATAATTATATGGTAATTATTGATGGTCCTGCTGAGCATTAATGCAATTAACAGAGCAATAGCTTCCGCATTACTAATTCTCCACCTCCAGCTCACTTGATAATGCAGGCAGAGAGCACTTTTTCAATCAAAAACTTCACTAATCCTCCCCTAACTTTTCCTTTTAATATTAAGATTCTTTTGTTTGCACAGCAAGGAAAAAGGCAATATGAAGCTGGTAGAGATAGTGGCAGATGCTTATAATGTTAAGTCCAATATTGGGGGATCATTGAATCTACTCTCTGTAGCTAGCTCCTAAAATCAAAAGAGAACTCAAGCTGTAGCTAAAACCCTTTTGGCACCTGCAGTTACTCATCAAACTCAAAATTCCCAAATGCCTTGAAAATCATGACACCGAAATATGTGTCTTACAACAAGAAAAGAGCATTCCCTGTTCGGAACTTTCTTGGGAAGAGAAAACCTATGGCTTGGGAGTAAGTCAATAAAGGGGATGATTATCAACAACTCTTAACAAAAGTTGATATTCTTGTATGCCAAAGGTGAGTTTATCTTTAGATTCCATACCTCAATACAGTCTGGAAAAATATCCCCACCTTCATATGTTGCAAAATCTCTTCCTCAATACAATTCCTGATGATAATAAATTTTCACTAAAGCTACAAAAGCAGTAAAAACTACTGCAGTTTCTATAGCTGAAATCTACGGCTCCGGCATTAGCTAATTTCATTGGCGCAATTGCAGATAAAAAGACACGGGAGATTGAAGAAGTCACGACAATCCAACATAAAAACAACTTGCAGCTTTTGCAGCAAGAAGAAATTTTAGTGAGAATACCGCCAGAAGAGGTATCTTCAAGCTAGCGACAATGAACCCACTATCTGCTCCTCATCATCAAGAAGACTATAAATTGAAAGACACAAAGCCACAGCTTGGAGAACGATGGCCACATGGAGGGATACGCGGTGCAGGCGGTTGGATAAGCAGTGAAAGAGCTACAAGCACTTATGATCTTGTTGAACAGATGTTTTATCTGTATGTTCGAGTTGAGAAAGCCAAAGATCTTCCTACAAACCCTCTGACCGGGAACTGTGATCCTTACGTTGAAGTGAAAGTTGGAAATTACAAAGGGAAAACAAAGCACTTCGAGAAGAAAACAAACCCTGAATGGAAAGAGGTTTTTGCATTCTCCAAGGACAAGATTCAGTCGTCAGTTCTTGAGGTATTTGTCAGGGACAGAGAGATGGTGGCCAGAGATGAGTACATAGGGAGGGTGTTATTTGACATGCATGAAGTGCCTACAAGGGTTCCACCAGATAGCCCTTTGGCACCACAATGGTACAGACTAGAAAACCGTCGAGGTGATAGCAAGGTGAAAGGAGAGATTATGCTTGCAGTTTGGATGGGGACACAAGCTGATGAAGCTTTCCCTGAGGCATGGCACTCAGATGCTGCCACAGTTCATGGAGAGGGTGTTTTCAATACCCGATCAAAAGTTTACGTTTCACCCAAATTGTGGTATCTCAGAGTTAACGTGATTGAAGCTCAGGATGTAGAGCCACATGACAGAAGCCAATTACCACAAGCTTTTGTGAAGGCTCAACTTGGAAACCAGATACTCAAAACCAAGTTATGTCCAACCCGAACGACTAACCCTCTCTGGAACGAGGATCTGATCTTTGTTGCAGCTGAACCATTTGAAGAAGAGTTGGTACTTACAATTGAAAATAAAGTGACACCTGCAAAAGATGAAATTATGGGAAAGATACGTATACCACTCAACAAATTTGAGAGGCGCTTGGATCACCGCCCGGTTCATTCCAAATGGTTCAATCTCGAAAAATTTGGGTTTGGTGTCATAGAAGGAGATAAAAGGCATGAACTCAAGTTCTCCAGCAGGATTCATCTGAGAGCCTGCCTTGAGGGTGCTTATCATGTTCTAGATGAATCAACAATGTATATAAGCGACCAACGCCCCACTGCTAGGCAGCTATGGAAGCAGCCAATCGGGATCCTCGAAGTAGGTATCTTGAGCGCTCAAGGGCTCCTCCCAATGAAACAGAGGGATGGTAGGGGAACCACAGATGCCTATTGTGTTGCTAAATATGGCCTGAAGTGGGTGCGAACCAGAACATTCCTTGAAAGCTTCAACCCAAAATGGAACGAGCAGTACACTTGGGAGGTTTACGACCCTTGCACAGTGATCACGCTGGGGGTATTCGACAACTGTCACTTGGGTGGAAATGAAAAACCAGCATCGGGCAGTGGAGCAAAACTTGATTCAAGAATTGGGAAGGTTAGAATCCGGCTATCAACCCTAGAAACAGATAGGATTTACACACACTCCTATCCACTCCTTGTTCTAAGTCCATCAGGGGTGAAGAAAATGGGGGAACTCCAATTAGCAGTTAGATTTACCTGCTTATCTCTAGCAAGTATGATCTACCTCTACGGACACCCATTATTGCCAAAAATGCATTATCTGCATCCTTTCACCGTTAACCAGTTAGATAGCCTGAGATATCAGGCCATGAATATAGTAGCTGTGAGGCTTGGCCGGGCTGAGCCACCGCTAAGGAAAGAGGTAGTAGAGTATATGCTGGATGTAGATTCTCATATGTGGAGCATGAGAAGAAGCAAAGCTAACTTCTTCAGAATTGTATCACTATTTTCGGGTGTAATCTCTATGAGCAAGTGGCTTGGTGAAGTGCGTTACTGGAAGAACCCAGTAACTACAATCCTTGTTCATGTTCTATTTTTCATATTGATTTGCTATCCGGAATTAATCCTCCCAACAATTTTCCTATACATGTTCCTGATCGGAATATGGAATTACCGATTCCGTCCAAGGCATCCTCCTCATATGGATACAAAACTTTCATGGGCAGAAGCGGTTCACCCAGATGAACTAGATGAAGAATTTGATACTTTTCCTACTTCTAAGCAGCAAGACGTTGTGCGTATGAGGTATGATAGACTGAGAAGTGTGGCAGGAAGGATACAGACAGTAGTAGGAGACATGGCGACACAAGGGGAGAGGTTTCAGGCACTGCTGAGCTGGAGAGACCCAAGAGCAAGCAGCCTCTTTGTAATTTTCTGCCTCATTGCGGCAGTAGTGCTGTATGTGACACCCTTCAAAATAGTTGCTTTGGTTGCGGGCTTGATTTGGCTACGACATCCTAGATTTCGAAGTAAGCATCCCTCCATACCAAGCAATTTCTTCAGGAGATTACCATCTCGTGCTGACAGCATGCTTTGAAAGAAGACTCTACTATGAGTATGATACGAAGACTCTACTATGATATGAATTGTCTTTCTTTTCTTTTTTTTTCTTGGCTTTAATTTGGTACGACTGTTTTTGTAAGAATTCAATTCCTAATGTTTTGTTTCGTTTCGTTTCAGTTGTTTACTACTTTCAACTTCATTTTTTATGAGTTTCTCCTAAAACATAGGCAAGAACAAGGCCGCTTTACTAAACTGCTTCTTACCATGTGCTCTCCAAAACCTAAATGTGGACAAGCCATTACAGAATTTGAGATAAGCTTTTGATTTATTACAACCAATAGGACCTAATAAAACCAAAAGGAAATAAAAGTTTCCACTTTCCACGGTGATAATAAATATAATCATGTTCGGAAAAAATAAAAAACCATGTTAATCCTATTTTTTCCAGGGAAAAATCTGCTTTAAAATCAAAGTCTGAAACGAAGTTCCACCCATTAAATGGCACCAAGTAAACCTTTTCTCAGCATCCTTTTTAGTTTCCCTTTTATCATACGGAACGAAGTTCTGAACAATTAGAATGTGTAGATCTTTTTCTTTCGCAAAAGAGATGACATTGTGATTTTACAGGAATAGCCCCAAAATAAAGAACGCTAGGGACTCATCAAGCATAAACCACCATAATCGCAACCAAAATTCATTCCATAAAACGATACTAGCTAATGCAAAATTTAGGTTCACAAAATCTTCTTAATACAATCACCATAAATATAAATGAAAAGAATTCAAGAAAAAGCATTTGTCAAGGTAACTGGAAGAATTCCTTTAGAAGACAAGCTCATGTGGTTTCATGCCTGACTTGAGTGAGAATCTTGCGGACAAGTAGGGCTTCAAATCTGCGACTCCTTCAATGGATTTTATCAATGGAGTGTCAACTGTCTTTTGATCATCTTTCTTGTTATCCGGGAGCACTTTCTTCTCCTGCAGTCCATTGACAAAAAACCCAATGAAAATGGACTCGATAAACCCAAACTAGAATATGCTTTTAAGAAAAATTACAAACACTATGATGAACCTAACAGACCCCCAAGAACTTTTGACTACTTAATTTTTCTTTGAAGTTATTGACATCACACAGTGACTGAGTTACCAAAATCTAATTTGTTGCAACACATTTGAACATGACCATTCAAAGTAAAATCCAATACCATCAAATTTTGGAGAGCTAAGATGAATAATAGTAGCACAATCATAATTCTTTTTCTCAAGGATCTTTCTATGTTGGTATAAGATGTCTGTTGAACTGAACCTAACCCTATGCTTGTGTCAAAGCAACAGAGCAGTAAGTCACAGACAACATATTTTAGTAAGGAAGCAAGTATATGAAAGATATAACTCACCTCCTTCTCTGCCTCAAAAAATTCTCCCTCTCCCTTTTTTTTCTTTTCGGCAACTTCCTTGGCAAAATATTTGTCATCAAACTTTTCTACATTGACCCCAAAAATGTCAACCTTAGTTGAAGTAGCAATCACGTAAGATTGATTTACACGTCTTAGAGGAACACCATTAATCTTGAATGGCCCTGTCATGAAGAAAGAAAGCATGCAAGTCGGCAAAAACCAAGTATAAACCAATAAAGCAAAGAGAAAATTGATAGTCAGACAAGAAAAGAAGGCATGCCTAAGCACAACACATTCACTAAAATGATATACACAGGGCTTCCATAAAAGAAAGACAGTTATATTCATAAACAAGTTTATAAAGAGAAGTGCACTTCAATGCTTTATATTTTGCATTTCTTCAGATAATTCATTTAGAATTCTATCACTAAACAAAACATGATTCATAAAATATCAACGGGATAAGATTATCAAAGAGTCTAATTTCTTCTTCCAAGAGTAGAATAACACAATCAATATCTTGAAAGATTTCTTACGTTGCAGTCAAGGAGAATGATATATTCTAGGACAAAAATAATAACTGAACGCCTACCAATAGTGGGATAAGAACGGAAAAGCACATTGTAGAAAAAATATTTTCCTAATCATAAAGGCAAAAATATTTCTTAAATTATCATCATCATCAACAAATTTGCATATGTCGGCAGATCAAATATGCCAAGCATATAAGTGAACCTGAGAATTCAATATTTAAAGGGAAAAAAAAAAAAAGCATAAATGTGCCGGCTAATGTTTACCAATTACAGTGAAAATTAATCATCCAGTATCAATCTCATTACATCTCATAAAAAAAACTTCCATACGATTGAAAAACACAAAACGGATCAGTGTCACTACAATTCCTCAAATTAGCAATAATAATAATAATAATAATAATAATAATAATAATAATTAAACTGACCGGTAACTAGAAGCAACCCTGAGGGAAGCTGTTTTAGAAAAACAACTCTCTTGCCCATAAACCTCCCAGCCAACAAAATCAACACAGTCCCAGTTGTAATGCTCTCCCTACATCCACCAAAACAAACATCAAAACCATAACACAAACAAAAAAATTGATGCCCAAAAACAAATAAAGTAGAAAAAATTCTTGATTTACCTAAGCTTGGTGGGTTTGTGCTTGCGCTTGTTGACGAGTGGCTTCTTAACATCATCAGCTGGGTAGAACTTGGGCTGCTTGGTGACAGCCGCATCAGTTACAGCGGGCTTGGCCTCGTGCTTAGGGAAAACGCCGCCATTTTTGGCCTTGATTGCCCAGAGACCACGCTTGTGGTACATCTTTGATCTGGAAAACTTTCCAACGCCACGTATAAGATCTGGGTTTCGGCTCGTTCTCAGGGATTTTGGAGCCATTTCGTTGAAGCCGCTCTCTGTTCTCTCTGAAGATAAGAGTTTCGGCAAAGAGACTAGCTTAGAGAAGAAAAAAAGCTTAAACCCTAGACACTTTATAATTAAAATTTTAAAAAAACTGTTTCGTGTTTGGAGTCTTTGGACCTTTGATATTATTTGTCAGATAATGGGCTTCCTGGCCCAATGGAAGCCCGGTTGGGAGAGATTGGGGCTTGGGTTGGATTGGATTGGGTTCGGTAGGTTAGAAACTAAATTGGTAATTAGCTAAGGCTGCCCTCTAAATCTCGATTGAGAGTATTAAAATTGTTTGTTTAGAAATTGTTTGTTAGGGGTTAGAATTAAAAATATTGCTTGTGCATAAATATATATTGATACTGTTAAATGTGAAGCCTTAAAGCGACACCGTTTAACTTAAGCCAAGAATTTCCAAACGACACCATTGTGACTTAAACCGACGCTCAATCCTGATCGTTGGTTTGAATCCAGATCTCACGCTAAAGACTAAGGCTGAGTCAAACCAATAAAAGCTGATGCTTTCAGTTTTGATTAACGCATTTTTCTCTGTTTTGATATCTCTCTGAGTTACAAATTAGGGTTCAAGATTAGGGTTTGTTCGTGTGGGTGTAAATCTGTGGGAATCTGTCCATTGAGTTGTGTTTCTTAGTGGGGAGGGAATCTGGTGTAGGTGTTCTTATCTCATATTGTAGGTTTACTGTTGTTGGTTCAAATCCTATTTGATCTTGGTTGAAATCTTGTAAGAGAGAGAGGTGAGGTTGTAATCGTTCTTGATCGAAATAGAAAGTGCAGCGAGCATCCATATTCTGGAGCTCAACGTGAACGTAGCTTGTTCAAAATTGAACAAGTGAACCATGGTAAATACTGTGTGTTGAATCTGTTTGGTTTGCGTTGATTGTGTGTTTGTTGGTTGATGTTTGCTTGATTTGTTTACGATTCTTTACAACAATTTACATATTACAAATTATTTTAATGCAAACTTCTTTTGACATGTTAAATTAATTGTTACAGTCCGAAATAGGGTATAAGAGAGCCTTTGATAACCTTGTTAAATTTGATCACTTTAAATATTAAGTTAGATTGTTATTCTTTGTTTTTAAATAATAACGAAACTGTATCTCGGTTGTCATTTCTTGTATACTCCGCCATGGCAGGTTAGTCCCAAAATTCTCATACTTTAGATATTTAATTTGTTGATTTGAAAAGAAAAAACAGTATATTTTTAATATCCTTATTAAAATTTAATTAAATAATATTTTATTGTGTCGTCATCTAATTCGGTTCTTTCAATTACTTCATTTAATCTCTCAAATACTCAACTTGAATTTTTTAATCATATTTGTATCCCCTTTATATTGTCAACCATGTATAGGAGAAAGACAGAAGGTTAAAAAAAAAAAAAAAAAAAGAGGAAGAAAAGAAAGACACTTGTCACTTCTCTGTTGTTCTCTACTTCATTCATGTCTAAGAGCATTTGCTATGCAGTTGTTTAGTTTAGTCAGTTTATGAGGAAATTACACAAGGAGGAAAAATGGAAGAAAATAAAATTAAGGTAAATTTTTTATCTCTTCATTTATTTCTTTAAATGCTTTCCGCTCTTTCTATGCCATTTGTTTGAAAGAGAGCACCACGGATTGAGCAATAATATGATATTTGAAGAAAGCAGTATGGGACTGTACCGGACCGGGTAACTGTACCTGAATGGGCCGGGCTCGTGCCGCAAAGAAATTATTATCAACTATATTTTCAGCGCTCTTTTAATTTCTCCTTCAATCATCTCGTCAATATTATCGTATTGTTTGTGCTGATTAATATATATAGATAATAATCAATTAAATCCATGTATTCACAATAATTTATTATGGGACTGGACGTGTACTATATAATTTATTCATCTAAATTTATTAATTATTTGTATTATATTGTACGTGTGCCATCCTTTAAGTCTCAGAGCTCTATGGAATTCATTGCTGATTTTCTGGGCCATGAATTATAAGTATTTCAGTAAGTTTCTACATTCTAGCCAGTCATTCGTTTATATTCTTCCATGTACATTGGAATGCCGACTTTTACTTCCTTTTGCTATTTTGTGTTGTAAGAACTGGCTTGACAATTTTGTTAAACCGATCCAAGTCCATACTTTAAAATAATTTACTATCTTAGATATTGATCAAACGCATCTAACATTAATTAAGACTGCAGTACACATACAAAAGAAAAACAATGGGCTGACGTGATTAGGGGGGAGTCGATGCCGGTTGATAGATAAAAGTGAACTATTGAATAAAATGAGTGATCACTCGATTCACGATTTATCCCGAACCTGAAAACATGAATTTCAATCTATATGTATTACATTCCTGCCTTTGAAATTTGTATTGACATTATTCTACACCAGCCAGTTATTAATTATGAAAATGGTCCATTAGTCTTCTTATATAAGAAAAAGCAAACAAATTAAGTGTGATGGATGATATAAGAGGGAGTTTGTCAGCATGCATCTCATCTTGGATCGGTCACCACCTAAAAGTATGCATGCAGATGCAGCAATACCTAGACCACAACATTTTAGTCTTTTCTCCCTAGGACCAAACAACTTTTGTCTTACTCTCACTAATCAAACCCACCTTCTTCTTCTTCTTCTCTTGTCTCATTCTCCATTACTTAAAGTCAGAAATATACCAACGTAATTATTCAAACTATGAATCTCTTAAAGAGAGAGAGAGAGAGAGAGAGAGAGAGAGAGAGGGAGAGGGAGAAATTACTTCTACTGCTTTTAAATTTAATAATCTATTTATTTTTCTATCTATACATTCTCTGTAGAAAAGAAGTTAAAAAAAAAAAAAAGGCAATGATAATTAAGAGACTTAAAATATAAAAACTAGCTAGCGACAGTAGTGTAGGGTTGTTATCATTCCTGTCGAGGGCGAGCGACCCAGAGAGAGCTAAGAGCTCGGAGACGATGGAAGTACTCCGCAATCGCCAGAAGACACCTTGCAGCTTGACGGGTGGTCAGAAGTTGATGCAGCCGGTGTAATGTTTGATGCCTCAGATTATCTCCCTGTAAGTTTAAAAATTAAAAGAATACTTTTAGTTTTAGATAACAATTGTAAAACTATTAAATATTAAAATTTGACTTTAAGAGGAATATTGAGCATAAACTTTGTTCTTCATGTTTACACAACCCATCCACTCATGACTTTGTGGCATTAGTGGTTACAATTGTCAAAAGGTTTAAGGAATTAGCAAAATTTGGATGTGAAATATTGTTGAGGTATGTTCATTTTCTTGGTAAATGATTGTGGTATGGTCGTACTGACCAAATTGTCCAGAAGTTTGAAAGAAAGAGCTGCAGATAGCAGCAAAATTAAAATTCCAAAGTAAATAATTAAAGTTCAAGCCAACCCTTAGAATATAAAATCCAATAATCTAGATAAGACTGAAACAGTAAATTGGACATCATAAGTCAGCTGGTGGCATTCACAAAGAAGTGGTCCATAAATATCAGAGTGCTGCAATATTGGTGATTGTATTGTACTAATAGCAATGATGCTAGCAAAGACTTGCTATATCATTGTTGGTAAATTCTTCATCAAAAATCCACTCAACTATCCTGACCATATGTCAAATCTAATGAATCCCTAATTAATTTTCCTTGGTGGGATACAAGATTTCTGTAGCCGAACCATGCATTCCAATCTTTGGACCCACCCGACCCTCAGTCCTCAGAATGATAGGCTAGCTAGAAACCTTTATTTTTCCTCAAAAGAGAGAGTTAATTAACACTATCACATCACTTGAAATTTTCTTATGCATGTATTTGTCAACAAAGCAATCTATATTTTGAGTACAAGCTAACATTTACTCAATCAGGTCAAAACTTCCATTATGGAACAAAGAAGAAGAAATCAAGTTACTGACTTAGCCAACCTTCCTTTTCGAATTATGTGTGTCTGTGTGTGTGTTTTGTGTTGTGCATGTGTAGTGGTCCACTCTTTGAGTGTTTTCATGTCTCTGCTAATTCTGTGAACAGTAAAAAAAGCAAGTTATGGTGGGGATAGTCTACATGGGAGGCCGGTGGCTTTTAGTCAAACGGTTACGACCGTGACATCATAAAAATATATGGGCCATCCATATCTTTTCCAAGTGAATATGCGGTCATGCGCACGGATTCATACTACTAGACCATCACAGGTGAAAATCATGCTTTTGATTTTCTAACTGAGTCTTAATCTCGGGTAGCTCTAATGTTAAGAAGTTGTAATTTCAACAAAAACACACATAGGGACAATATTTATGACAAAAGTCATGCCTAGATGCGGTTATTGTGTAATTAAGCTTCAATCCTTTTGCTTGCATATTCTCTTAATTAGCTCTTTTGCTTATGCCTTCAATTTATATTTTATAGCAGCAAAACCGATCCCATTAGATATTTTTGATAACTCCCAATTGTTCTACTAAATAAGACACATGGGTGTTGGTTTAATTTCCTACTATGAAGGGCACGGGCGTAGTTTTCTTGGGAAACTAACAGACCGCAAGAAAGGGCTTAACTGTACTGTGTTGCTATCAAAATGTACCTCAATAACTCGTGAATTGCAAGAAAAAAAAACTATATATCTATAGATAGATACCATATTGTAACCACCATCTAGCCACCCCATGAGTAGTTTCTAAATTGGTTAGGTTTCCAAACCCAAACAGCACAAGAGTCTGGGTTCCACATACCCCACATCGTTTTAGAAAAAAAATATCATAATTCATGCACGGAGGTCCTACAAACAGATAAAGTAGCAATAGACTAGGAACTAACTTTGGAGTTAAAAGAATGATAAACATACCTGCCTAACAAAACCCTCGAGGGTGGAGAGTTTGTTCATGGCTACAGCCATTTGGCCCATGTAATTACCCATGTTAGGTGGGCAGCTCAGAGAATCAGAAGCTATGGTGTCTGAAATAGACTGGTTAAGAGCTTCAAGCCCTTGGGAGAGAGCTTCTTCAGCCTCCTGTGTAGATTGTTGCAGTCCACATATACCCAAGATCTGTTGCTCCGTTAATGGCTCAATTTGGCTCAGTATAACCTGAATTATTCACATAAACCCAGTAATTAGATTATCAGAATAATTTGTATCGGAAAACATGCTGGCCCATGATGTAGCCTAACGTGAATATTAATGGAAAATAATGTGTGTAAATGTTATTATCATTGCATAGAATAAAATTTTCTTGGTTAAGATTTTGCATTAGGATCTTATTACTACAAACCAAAGAAAAAGATGAACATGAGAAGAAGAGTGTTTGTTGGCACCAATGAGAAAGGGAGAGAAGATGAGAGAGTATTTCCAGACCCGTGCAATTCTTTCCTTCTCTCTCTTTCTTTTTCATACCACAAGTTGTAGTAACAGACACAACTTTATAAGAATGGTACCTAACCAAGCCTTACTGTAGAAACCTTCATGATGCCTTTCGTCATTAATTGATATTCATTTTTGTTATGTGATCTTCTTACCAATTCCACCGACAAGTTGCACCATGCAATAAAAACGAAAGTTTCTGTTGTTGTTTCTAATAGAGAAAGAAATAAAGTAGGAAATCTATTTTTTTTTTTTTTTTTTTTTTCCTTTTTTCTTCTGAAGGACTCAGATTTATGTATAAATCTAAGTAGGGTTAGTTAACAAACCCTAATTCAAGCTTAGTGGTTTTTTGGTAATGACTTTTGTCATTTTCTTGTCACTTTTAGTGCTTTATGTGCTTACTTTTCTCGTAGCTAACTTTTGAAACTAATGTATTAACAAGAAAAAAATAAACACTTAAATAAGTGGTTGATTGAAACTACTTTGAAGATGGTAATATGTAGTGAATTTAAGTTCTTACCTTGATGAGCTCAGATGGCCGGAATCCACCCAACCACAAGAAGCATCTCTCAGCCGGAGTCTGCCACAAGCCAGAAACAAGGTGAAACACGTCCGTTTTAGCCACCATACTTTTGAGGTTCATCATCTCATCGTAGTGCGCTAAGCAGTTGTCTACAAAGAGCCGAAGTTCATTCTCGGGTAAATGCTCTTGTACTGCTGCTCGAAGTTCACACATTAGACGATGATGCACCTCAAGCCATCGTGCATACTCCATGTCAAATACAGCAGCATCTAAACAAGGGAGAGATTGACGGGTAAGTTTGAGGTGACAGAAACCGAAATAATAAAGAAGAAGAGTTAATTTGCGGAACATTTTGATATATACCTGAGCTAATGTTGTTGATGCCAACAGGAAGCCCTTGCTCTCCACCTAAAACTCCACCGAAGAACATGCCCTAAGAAACCCCCATGTTTTAGATCATATATATACGAGACAAAGTTGACCTTAATGATTTCATCTTAATCAGAAGACTTTAGTTTTACAGTTGATCTAATCTTACTTGAGTTCTGGCTCGTTGTAGCTCTTGTTCCAGTTGGGTAAGTTTGATCCTGCTTGATTCTAGCTGCTGGACATAAGCCTGTGATCGATGGAAATGGGAAAAAAAAAATCAATGAAGATGATGATTTAAAATTTATCTTGTTAGGACTGGAAGAGAAGTAACAGCATCAGTTTTGTCTTGTGGACTGACCTTTTTTCGCAACCTACTTTTCCTTGCCGCCTCTCTATTCTGAGCAAGTCTTCTCAGTGTCTGCTTGAAAATAATAATGAGACACGTTGAACAATTGATGGAGAGATTTGATGTGAATACTGTATTCATTTATATTTTTTCAAATAGAAAGTGAACAATTAAAGAAAGAAATCACCTTAGGGTCTGGTGTTTTGGGTCCTTCTTGTTCTGAGCTTGATGTTGGACCTTTTCGGTTTCCTTCACGCTGCCGTAAGAGAAGAATAAATTATATAACGAAGAACAGAAAAAATAATAGCTAAGAATCTCAGTTTTCAGTAAACTAGCTACCAAACTATTATTCTTGATCCCGATATAATAATATGTATTTTTACTTATCCAACCTTGACAGATTTAGCTGGTTCAGGCCCAGATGCAGCGTCATTTCGTGCGTTGGCCAACTCCATGGACGCCTCGGATGGTCTCTTTGAACCACTATTATTTGTAGAAGAAACTAAAACTGCACCAGCCTACCAAATACAAACAAAACCATTAGAAACTAATGACAATTAAATATCATGATAATTTAATTGTGCCATCAAGAAGAGAAGTATAAGTTGAGTTAATAACGAATTAGTACCTTCGTTGATGATGGCTCTACGTGCATAGGCTGAGAAGGGAAAATGTTCAAAGTTGGAGGCCTCATTCCTGAATTCTCTGCAAAAACAAATTCTCTCAATATGCATTAATTAATAATACTGCTTGTAGCTAATTTCCATTACCACGAGAGACAGATAATAACAAAAGGAGGACCCAAGTAACTAAAAGAGGCGACGAGAATAGAGAGTTATGAGAGGCAAGGAAGAAAGTATAGAAACCGTCATGCATTTCTAGCTCTCTGCCATGAAAACGGAAAAAGGAAGAAACAAAGGTGAAAAAGGCAAAGAAAGCCCATATTCTTTTCGTACCCTTTTCAGTACATGTAGAAATCGCAAAAAAATCGTGATCAGTGGTTTAATTTTTTTACATGTCATGTTCCAAAACACAAGCTCCAAACAAGGCTAAAGAAATAAAATCAAGACCCAAGAGAATTCTCTCTTCATATTTGAAAGTTGAAAACATGTTTTTAAATATTCTTTTCAACTCTTTTGTTCTGCAAGCTAGGATCTGGTCAAAGAAAGTACTGAATTGGAAGATTTTAATCTGTTGAACATGCTTTCTCTGTGACCCAAACAGACCATTCCCAGAATAATCTTCCCAACAGAAAACGAGTGAAAATAAAAAAGTACCCTTTGTAGGAAGAAAGGAGGAAATTTTGAGAGAGAAAACACTCACGTCTTTGCTCTTGAACACCGGAAGCTTCTTGTCCATCAAGATAAAGGAAAAGTGCTTGATCTAATTCTCCCAGATCATAAGTTCCAGTATCTTTACTACTACTGTTGACACCAAACATCGAAAAACAAAATTAGAGAAGAAAGTATTAAACCTTGATTAACTTCAACCCAAAAGGCTTTGTTTTGTAATGTAAAATTACATGTAGTTTCCAGGGATAGTGGATGATGATGACGATTGCATCATTCCATAAGGAATCTGGTGATGCTCTTGTATTATTTGATGCTGAAGCTGCTGCTGCTGTTGTTGTTGATGTTGATGTTGATGCTGATGGAGATGATGTTCTAGTTGTGTAGAGTGATTGGTGATGACTTTATTATTACTAGCCATGAAAGGAGTTCCTCCAAGCCTTGTAATTTCTTTCTCTTCTACAAGCTGAACTTGATCAAGTGCTCTTGAAAACCCCATTAATAAACAAGAACCAAAATCTCTTCGCTGTTTTCAAGATCATTTTTAATTACACCACAATCAATATCTAGAGAGAGAGAGAAAAGAGAGTCGGTTATGATTGAAAAGAAGATAGAATGAAAGAGAAGAACAGAGAAAAAGAAAGAATGGAATTGAATGCAAAGAAACAAAAGACAAACCTTTTTTATTACTAGCTATCTGTCTCTCTCTCTCTCTCTATAAATTAGACTTACCTGACTTCATGTAAAACCATTTTTGAGTTTTAGCGAAAAGAAAACAAAGAAAAAAATAACAGTTTCAGATAAAGCGGTCTCAAGCTATCTTATTCAACTCTCTCTATCTTAAGAAAAACCATAAACAACTCAAGACTTAAATGAAACCGCTGTTCTGAATACGAGAAAACCACTTTTGAGTCCTGAGTTTAGCTTCCTTGTCCGAGTTTCCTATTTATGTCCTTAGTAATGACGAAAATACCCTCACTTGGTTTGAAGTTTTACTGTTGGCATTTCCATGCAAACTTACACGTAGATAGGTGAGGCGGCTTCGTTGCCACTAAACACCTTGTATAGTCTTTAGCCACTTTCTCTCTCTTCTTCTTCTTCTAATTATCATTTTGCTATGATTTTCCCAATTTTCATTTCTTGGAACAAAGATAAGAATCCACCACTAAAATCCAATCTTTTAATCATTAAAATCTTAACCCCTTCCTCTCAATAGTGAGATTAGGTACACCTAAAAAATGAATCTCGATTTTTAAAAAAACTCATATATGTTTATGGTATATTTATACCATCGCTGATCTCAGTTATAGTCTTTGTTCAATTTTATAAATATATGAGATTCTCTGCAATTTAAAAATTATAAAACAAAACACACAATCGACGCTGAAGTCGATGGCAAAACAAAATTAAAAACAGGAAAAGAAAATAATTGAACTACTCAAATACTTAGCTTGTGTTGGTAGTGGGGAGTTATGATCACTGTTCAGAAAATCCAGGGATATATGAACATGGTTTGGGTCAAAAGACTCAAAACTAATGAATATTATCAACTGCTTTGATTTTTATTAATTACTCACCAATATACGAAAGCTTAGCTGATTGGAATTTTAATTAAAACGTATATGTATATTAACTGTGTTTAATTTATTTCTAATCCAAAAACAAAATAATATCTATTGACTTTAATAAGATTTTCAGGAAAATATAAGTATAGAATAGTCTTACCTCTTCAAAACTATCATAGATTATACCAACATTTCTTGATCATATATATATATATAGTCTATTTGTTTCTTTACGCTATATTTAGTTATTCTTTATATATAGAAACTAAATTTCTCACATTTCAAATATGGGACTTTTTCATAATTCTAAGGATGAGATTTTTCAATACAATAAAATTCCTATCATTTTCACCATTAAAACAATTTAAAGTCTTTAGCCATTAGCCAAGGCAAAGCCCCGGCCATTCCATTCAACAGCCGTTACCGAATCTTTTTTATTCAGAAAGGGGGCTGTGGTAGAATTGTCATTAAAGTACATTTTCCCATTCTACAAAAAATAAATATTATAACAGGCAGCTGTCAACAAGAGAATGCAGGTAGGACCGTTGACCATCGAACATGTGTCAGTGTAGAGTTTCAATTCTGATCTTGGGACGTTGGAGTCGGGGCCCACTCCATCAGAAGCTCAAAATAATAGAAAGGAATCGGACGGCTGAGAGTTTGTTTATTTTTTTATGCGTTAAGGGCCCCACTTGATCAGAAGAACTAAGTCTTAATCAGTGGGGGTCCACAGAACCGGCCCCCACCTTTCCCGCGATTTTTTAACTCCCTTGTTCTCCAACCACTCCGAAAATAAGGACTGTCTGCTAACTGCAAAGAAAAATGATACAAAATTCTTTTTATTTATTTATTTATTTATTAAATGAGTGTTTATTTAATAGTTGAATGTATTATAGTTAAATCTGTATTATTGAAATACTAATTTACCACATGTTATATAAAGTTCATATTTTATGATCATTTGACTTATATTATTATAAGTACATCATTTTTATTTTGTTATAATTTAGATTTAATTTTATATATGCATCAATATATTGTATATAGTCATCGCGTACAATAGCTTGGGGTAAGAAACAATGTCTTCAAAAGCTTTTTCAAAATGGTTCGAAACCATTGAAAATTAAAATAAAATAAAATAAAAATAAATAAAAAAACAGCTTATAATTGAAAGAAGATGTATGGATGAATGTTTTGATTTGGTCAAAAGCATGATTAAAAAGATTATTGCGTTTTAAGGTCAAATTTCACTCTTTTAAAACTATATTTTATAAAATAAAAGTATAATTCAATGATTTGAATTTTTAAGGATGTACTTCCAATACAATGCTCAAACGACAATGATTGAATATTTCCAGTGATAGACACTCTTTTAATTCTAGGAATACACATCCTACAGGACCTACATACACACAAAACTTCATATTAGATATCATTAATTAGAATGACTAAAATTTTCCAATCAAGAAATTAATAAAATCGGTGCTCTTAGAAAATTAAGAAACCCTACGCCACAATAATAGTAATTTATATAAATGGACTTGCCATAAGGGAAAGAGATGCGATCATGGGGAAGCTTACTGAAAGACACTGTCAAAATCTCTATATTTTATTTATTAAAGAAAAAAAGTTATATACTTAAATTAGATTGTAAAGATGAAGAGGTGTACAAGAGAAAGAGGTGCGTTGGCAAATGTTGGAGGAAAAATGGCAATAGGAATAGAAGTGGGTAGCTATCTTCCTTTATTATGCGTCACCCTTAACAGAATTTTTTGTAATGGAATCGAAATTTTGGCCTCCAAGGGCATTTATAAATATAACTCCAACTAATTACTCCCTTCTTTCCCACCCCTATGAGGCAGATTATTCCAAACCGATTCATTATCGAGGAGTGATCAGCTTACTTAATTGCTCTTCTTCTTTCCTCAATGTTTTCGTTTTGATTTTCTTCTACCTACCAAGGTCCGAATTTAGTAATAATATTATTACTAAATTTCATATTTATGTCACTATTCAAGTGATACATATCAATCTTTTCTATATATAACCTGAATGCAAAATACAGGATTTCATCAGTACTACTACTCAAAGCAAAATATATTTTATGCCCAAGTCTCCTCCTTGATTTGATGAATTGAAATCTCATTATAGGTATATGCATAGTGTTTGATCTGGTAAAATGTTTGACTTCTATGACATCCATGGATTGCTTCTTTCAAAAATCTAAAATGAATTCCATCTCGATCACACCAAGTATATTGTTCCACCTACCACATGATTCTTATATATTAACTCTTTATGATATCATGGTCTTCATTATTTCATTAAGTTATGACTTATATCTACTCAACAAATTNCACTACTACTACTCAAAGCAAAATATATTTTATGCCCAAGTCTCCTCCTTGATTTGATGAATTGAAATCTCATTATAGGTATATGCATAGTGTTTGATCTGGTAAAATGTTTGACTTCTATGACATCCATGGATTGCTTCTTTCAAAAATCTAAAATGAATTCCATCTCGATCACACCAAGTATATTGTTCCACCTACCACATGATTCTTATATATTAACTCTTTATGATATCATGGTCTTCATTATTTCATTAAGTTATGACTTATATCTACTCAACAAATTAACAGGGACAGATTACCTTCAGAGGACATAAACCTCTCTTTGATTGTAATATTTAGATTATGACCCCTAAATTGCAACCTTCCCGTGAAGTTCCACAATCAAGATCGAATAACGATAACAATAAATTAATTACAATAACTTTGATAGTCTAACTAATTAACGAAGGATCCAAGTTATTAGTACATGAATGAATCCTGATTTTTATCTTGTATTATAAGCCATTGAATAGATGGATTAATTTAGTACGTATATACAATATATAACTTCTAATACCGTATAAAATAGACTGGAGACATATATAAACATCAGTTTGTTAATAATCCTACTTTGTATATATATAAAAAGCAAGGAACTTGCGGTTGTTTTCAGTACAAGGAGGATTTCATTTAATTACTAATCGCAGTTTTAACTCTTTCTCTACGGGGTACATTAATGATATAATAGAAGAAAGGAAAACAACAAATTATTTGGATTAGGTAGTGTAATCAAAACAGATCCATAAAGAAAAATAATTTTTTTAATTATATATATGCATGACCTTTTCTTATAGCCCTTCAAGAAGCCTGGGTTTCGATACCAACTCCTTCCATTGGCTGAGTCGACATATCCAACATTGAAAATGACAATTATATTTTTAATTAATCTTGGTTGAAGAGAAACTCTGGTTAATAGATGTTATGTATACCACAAATTTCTGTGGGAAAACTTAAAGTATCTTTTGAAATGACACGTAGATCATTGATTCTACCCTATTTGTTTATAAACCTTTTGTAGTCCATTGAATTTCCATATATGTGCTCCTCAAATTTAATCTGCCCATGTAGAGGGAAATCTCTTTGTATTACAATATTGAAGTTTCAAGTTATATTGCTAATTTAGATGATTAATTAATGGAGATGGGGTTGACTAATAGAATAATTATAAAGTTTTAGTTGAATATTTTATCTATATTTACAGATTAATGCCGCCCTATCTCCTACTCCCTTATAGTCTACTGCCTTTTCAAGACTCGAGTTTCTTATTAAGCAGTCTGGCTTTGTTTCTTTCTATTAATTTTATGTGCTAAAGTTGCCACAACAAAATTAGGTTACCAATATTGTGAGACTATCACTTAAAAATAGCAACATTGTTATTTTGTTTATGACAAAGTACAAGAAATTAAATTGAAACTCTCGCGTATGAAAAGACTACAGACTTAGAAAGTATGTTTTAAATTATGATTATTCTGATAATAAGTTAATTTATTTTGAAATATAACATTGATTAGCCATACGAAAAGAGAAGAAGTGAGACCATTATGCAATATATCTTCCTTTTATATACGTCTAATTAAAGAACCAAAATAGAAAAACTAATACAATAATTATTATAGTTTTGAAAACTTGTATTAGTTTTCAAAGAAGTATCATTATAGTTGGGAAAAATGTAATTATCATAAGATAATTGATTCAGCTTACTACCTTTGGATTATAATTTATTATTTTGTATGTTGTTTGGTTAATAGATTCGATTCAAGTACAGTAAAAATAATAATAAAATATGTTAGAGTAAACATTTAAAAAATGGTTTACTTTCTACTTACATTATAAAATTATCATAATACATAGATATATATATTGAATATTCTAAGTTACTAGAAATAAGACTGAAAATGAAAATGAAGTACATGTTCAATGTATTTCTACCTTCTCTGTGCATTGAAAGTTTATACAGAACAATCTAATTGATGCAACCCATTATCGGAATTATTATTTTGGTTGACTTAATGATATTGATCATCACCATTTTGTCAATTTAATATACACAGACACAAAGAGTATATATTCTGACTTAGACAATTTTAATTACTTACATGTTTATCAATAGTACAACTACAGCATCTATGTTTTGTAAGAGGCATGTCGATCTTTAGCAATGCAAAAATAATTCAACGGTGATGATTAGCTCCCTGAGAGGGCAACCACTTCTTGTCTTTTTAATTTATTTTTATCTAAATCCTATTCTGTTTTTATTTTAATATATAATTTACTATTTGACTCTCCTTAATGATTTGGCTTGTTTAACGATATATATTGCATTGAAGAGGTGTGGTCTGCCTAATCTTAATTGTATATATGCCTTACATAATGGAATGTTCTATATATGGTAGGGATTATAAAGTTAATTAATTATTAATCAATTAACTTTATTTATATTGAAATGAAAAGTCTTATGATAGTTTATTCAAGTAAGAAACCTACTTCCTTAATTAAATTCACCTAATCTCTAAATTTCAGCCTTTATGTATTACATCTTTCTCCACCTCATCCGTTCAGGTAAATCACAGAGTGAGATTGCCTAACAGTTCATTGCCTATACAATTATTTTCTTCATCCATTCTATAAATATTTAATTAATAATGTATAGAAGTATTTCCCCCAAAAAAACAAGTGTCAAAATTGAAGTATTAAGACTTATATTCATTAATTAAAAGAGATATTAATAAATAAATAAATAAATAATGAAAAGACTCGATCCATTGAATGCAATATACAAGACTAAAATTAAATTTAAGTTAAATTAAGAGAAGATGAGATTGAACTATCAGAGAAAGGATTTGTTGATAAATTATACTATCTAATGAACCTTGATTAGGCATTAATCATGCAACTCAATAAACAAGATTCGTTTCAATTCTCTTCTTTTATTTATTTATTTTATTTATATATATAATTTTGTTGGGTGCATGCTTCAATAACATAATAACATGTGTTTATGAGAAATAAAGACAGCTCCATACAGAGAGAGCAGTATTAATTGGGAAGAAGCCATGTTAGGAGGGGTATCTTTTTCTTAGTATATACATTCAAAATTTGTTATGCTAAACGACTGCAGACTTGCTTTGAATTGCTTCAAAGGATAGAGGTGGGCAAGGGCAACCATTAAATGGATACATCCAAACATCATTTATATTTTGCACGGAATCCATGCCTTCCAATCCCTAAAATGGAAATATAAATTTCATCTAACATTACTTTCGCACTGAATACAAGGATGAAAATTACAATATTGAAAACAGTTTTTGGTTGTAGATATCGTTTGCAATATGAATAGATTTTGAATTTTTAATATATTATAGGGATAGGATATTGGTCCTTAATTTCAGGGAGGAGCATTAAATAATTCCACACCGTATGAAGAAAGATCCAAATTTTAATTTCAAAGGGCCCTTTCTCAGTTTCTAAAAATAGCAAAAGCTAATTTCTACTGCTTTCTGTTTCAGCTGTTAACCCTATTCATTTGAATGAGTTTTCTTGACCAGGAGGCAAGAGCCCCTTCTTTTCAGATGCCCACTTCCCTCTGGCCCTTATATGATTCGTGGTTTTGTGCGGCTTGCAGGAACCTGCAGATAGAAAATTATGAGACGAATAAAAAAATACGTTCTTCATTCTTCTCGTCTTCTAAATGTGTAAGAGTGTGAGCCAATAGCCATGCACATGCACACATGTTAGTAAACAAAGATCAACACAATTTAAAGCTGCAGGCTCCGTGGTAAGCCAGATAGCTCTGTGTTTTGACCGCAGATTCAGATTGTAAAAGTTTGAATTAGGCTTTGTTTGACGAGTAACCTGCAGTCCGTCTATAAAATTGACTAAACATAAATTTACTGACAATTGGTTGGAAACTTTTTACCTCCAGTTCATCCTTTTCACACAACTGACTAATTAACTCAAGTTCCAGCTAGTTTGATTTCGCTTCTCTCCATTCTGTATAACCCTGCGCACGAGGCAAAATAAGGTCAATTTTTATGGGTAATTTTGTTCATACGATCTTAGCCTCCCCTTCCATATTAAGACTAATTAAGAATAATTTAAAGTCTGCCTCTCCTCAATACCACATAATATTCAGATCAATGTATAAAACCTCATTTCTTTTCTTTTTGATTCAATAAATTAATGTCAATGAACTAGATTGACTATCGTGCATATCGAAGCATATATGGCTTCCGCAATCTTCTTGATTACTAGACACTCAAACTATTACTGTGATAATTTTAACAATCTACGTCCTCTCAATTGGTTTATACTAATTGTAATGAAACGTGATTTGAAGAAGGACCGAATGAATAATCAAGCAGATGGACTTTTGTTTGGATAGCACTCCGAAATTCAAACTCAACAAACCATAAATCAATAAAGAATAGTTGATGAAACATCAAGACTTTCATATGTCACTCTCAAAAAACTTTAATATTTTTGAGAGATTTCTTCTTCAACTTGATACAAGAACAATTCTTCATCATCAATATTTTTTCAGCTTCCATCAAATAAATCAACAGAAGTTTGTCAAAAAACAGCACGCCCAATGTTAATTTGATTTGACAATTTCAAGTCAGTTTTATTTTTAGTTTAGTACTTAATCACTTAAATTATCTATCAATAAAAGAATTAACTCTCAAGATTCAAGCGTTATTGAGTGGGGTTGGTGAGTGTGAATATGTGATGTAAAATTTGATTCTTTACTTCATTGGGGAGAAGAAAGAAAGACGGGTCCATCCCAAAATCTGTTCTAATTGGGGATAGTTTGTCAGATTGGAGTTTATAGTTGGGCTTCTGTTCTTGTATAATGACCATGTTGGCCCATTACTAAAACCCCACAATTCGACCTTTTATTTTGTGTTAATTATCAATACTATTTTGAAATTGAAAATCAAATAAAATAAATATTGTGTTTAGAGTTTAGATGAGAAAGCATAAAAAGAGGGTCCAGTACTGGTGTTTGTATTGAGTTTGAGATATTCCCCAAGGGTTGTAAAGCAGCTTACCTCACATCTTTTTGGTATTCTCAAGCATATACCATTCTTTTATTATAAACGAATCTCCGGAATCAAGGTTTTATTAAAAACAATATGAGCTTTCCCTACAAAAAGTCAAAAAGTTCTCCACCCTCAAAAGTGTTTAATAGGGTTCCTGTACAGTAACTATCAACACACTAACTGATCAAATGCCCTCACATTCACATAAGCCATTGCATTTAGATTAATTGGTTAAATACTTCGAAGGTACAAAGAAAATCAATTTCTGTGAAGGAAATAATAATGGTTTCACTGTGTCACTACTTTCTATACGAAATTGCTTACTGGGTGCAGTGCGCGCTAGTGTTTGGGATTTGGTTTAAAGGTAAAATATCATGATTTACTAGTTTTGTCCTTACAAACATCTGAATTTATGTTCGTGTAGCAGTTAAAATTGGAGTCTAAAGTCTAAACTGCTCAATAAGTAAAATTTTAAAATTGTGAAAAACAAATTAGAGGTGGTAAATTGAGGGCAGTTAAAAGTAGAGAAGGGAAAAGACAAAAACAATTTGCCTATGGGGGCTCCTTGAGCAGAGATGCACAGTACATGGATACAGCCTGTAAAGCAAATATATAAAGGTCCCCACCTACGTAGACCGTATAACACAGAACCGGCCTCACAAACACGATTCCAAGAATCAATTACCCAACTTTCTCATTAGTCATTTTTTGCTGTTCAAAACGCAAATTCAACCCTTCTACTTTTCACTACTCTTACCAGTCATTCATAGCTGCAAGTTTTGTGAACTAGAGAAGTGTGCTTACACCTCCAGTTTAATAACATTTAGAAAACAAGCATTTTTCCAGATAAATATATGGATAAAAAGAGCAAAATAATGTATGGGATCCAAGACATGCACATATTCTATGCAGGTTTTACCTCACTAATATGTTTTAATTAAGTTTCAATCAACCATCACCAAAGCATTTATTATGCACTTGTTCTGAGCAAATTAGCAGGGCAACAACTGCCGTAATAATCGGGAAGGCAATATTTGTCCGTCTCCTTCACCTTAATCTCTTATCAGCCAACTTGGAATAAATAAAATTATTATATATGTGATTAAAAAACAAAAACAAGAAGTACATGTGTAACAAGTCCACATTCATTCAACTAGTAAAAAGATACCATTTATAAACAACAAATTGCTGTCATGAAATTCCAGAATCCAGAACACCAATAAAATAAATAACACAACAGTACCATTTGTCCAGGAATGTTAGGCAAATTATATGTAATTTAAAGAAGAAAGGAATGTTTGTTTTCTGCTATAAATGAAATGCTTCTTGATCTAGAGAGCAAATTAACCTAATCAAAATCCAAAAAGCAGTGAAAATAACATATTACACATGCAATGCCGTAATTTAGCACAAAAGAAACAGAAACTCATTCAGCCCATGAGATGTGACTTGTGAGGGGTTGGAGCTCAAATGTCCCATTAGATAATATCTACTAGCTCTAACTAAGCAAAGAGAGGTTCAGATAAGTTAAATTCCAATCAAAACCTACAAAATTACAAATTTGACATTAATTGATTACCATAGACTCAAGTTTCAAACATAAATCCTATAGATGATATAGAAGAACCACAAATCCACAAAATCTACTACCTTCAGGGAAAGGTTACATAAAACCAGAATCAGAACTCAACATCCACCGCATAACTTAGGAAGTAAACAGACTCCTTTTCTTTCTGCAAATCTTCACTGACTTGACAATAAAGAAGAAAACTAAATGTCATACGCATCTAAAATGCAGCTGCAAATGTATCCGGCCTTCCTCATAGCATGCAATCTGTTCGCGCTGGCAACCTCCTGAAGAAATTGAGTGGCACAGAAGGAAGCTTATGACGGAACCTTGGATGTCTTAACACATAGAATCCTGTTAGAAGGGCCACAACTTGGAATGGTGTAACATAAAGAACAATGGCAGCAATCAAACAAAAAATCACAAACAGAGCAGTGGCTCTCGGGTCTCTCCAGCTCAACAAAGATTGCAGTCTCTCCCCTTGCGTAGCCAAATCACCAACCACAGTCTGAATTCTCCCAGCAATACTTCTCAACCGATCATATCTCATCCTTACAATATCAGAAGGCCTAGAGGTTGGAAATGTATCAAATTCTTCATCCAGTTCATCGGGATGGGCAGAATCCGCATGAGAGAGACGGGTGTCCATGTGAGGAGGATGCCTTGGCCTCCACCTATAATACCAAACTCCAATCAAGAATAGGTAGAGGAAAATTGTGGGCAAAATAAGCTCTGGGTATAGCACCAGTATGATAAACAAGATGTGAATCAACACTGTTGTAATGGGGTTTTTCCAGTTGCAGATCTGATCAAACCATTTTCCCACAGCAATTAACCCACTCAATACTCCCATAATCCTGAAAAAATTAGCTTTGCTTCTTCTCATGCTCCACATGTGAGAACCCACGTCCAGCATAAACTCCACAACCTCTTTCCTCAATGGTGGCTCAGCTCGGCTAAGCCTCATGGACACAATCTGAGTGGCCTGATGCCTCAAGTTATCCAGTTGGCTAACAGTTAATGGATGCAGATAGTGCATCTTCGGCAACAATGGTTGTGAGTACATGTGCATCATGTTAAGCAATGACGAGCACGTGAATCTCACAGCCAAATGAATTTCACCCATCTTCTTGACACCATTTGGATATAGAACCAGAAGCGGATACGAGTGAGTATAAACACGATCTGTTTCAAGCGTAGAGAGACGAATCCTTACCTTTCCAATTTTTGCATCCTTTGACCCTACAGATTTATCTCCACCATGCAAGTGGCAATTATCAAACACCCCAATTGTTATAACAGTACAAGGATCGAAAACTTCCCATGTGTATTGCTCATTCCACTTGGGAGTAAAGCTATCTATGATTGTTCTGGTTCGAACCCATTTCTGCCCATACTTCGCCACACAATAAGCATCTGTAGTTCCCCGCCCATCTTTAGTCTTCATTGGCATCAAACCTTGAGCATTCAAAATTCCCACTTCTAGTACCCCTATGCTGGACTTCCATAACTGTTTTGCTGTTGGTCTAAGATCACTACTGTAGTGTGTTGATTCATCCAGCACATGGTAACCACCTTCCAAGCAGATCCTCATGTGAATCCTGCTAGCAAACTTTGTCTCCTTCTTCTTCTCCCCTTCCACAATCACATGCTTTTCAAGATTAAACCACCTAGTGTTCACCGGTTTATGATCAAGCCTCCTGTCCACATGATGCAGAGGAATCACACACCTTCCCAAAATCTCATCCTTGTTGGGTGCAACTCTATCTTCCACACTCAAAACCAAGTGCTCCTCAAACGGTTCTGCAGCAACAAACATCAGATCTTCATTCCACATAGGATTAATAGTCCTGCTTGCAGAACTTCTAGTTCTCAAAGCCTGATTTCCAAGTACGGCCTTCACGAAAACATCCGGGTACCTACCCTTGTCAGTGGGTTGCAGGTCCTGAGCTTCAATCACATTAACCCTCAAATACCAAAGCTTGGGAGAGAGATACACCTTCGACCGGATATTCGCTAGACCATCCATGCCACTTACAGTGGCTGCATCCGAATGCCATGCCTCAGGAAATGCCTCATCTGCTTGAGTACCCATCCAGACAGCCAACATTAATTCTCCCTTGACTTTATCCCCCCTCCTATCCTCCAACCTATACCACTGTGGAGCCAAAGGACTATCCGGGGGAACCCGCTTTGGAATCTCATTCAAATCAAAAGAAACTTTACCCATAAAATCATCCTTCACAAAGTCCTTATCCTTCACAATAACGTCAAGCGTAGATGCCTGAATCCGATCCTTCGAGAAGGCAAACACCTGGTTCCACTCAGGATTTGATTTCTTCTCAAAATGCCGAGTTGTACCCTTATAATTGCCAAGCTTAACTTCAACATAAGGGTCACAACTACCAGTGACATCTTTTGCAGGTAAGTCCTTGGCCTTGACAACCCGGACATAAAGATACTGCATCTGTTCAACAAGGTCATAGGTGCTGGTGAGCTTGTCGCCGGTGAGCTTACCCCCACCCAAATGGGGATTGGTCTCTTTCAAAGAAAAATCTTCTGGTGGTGGTCTCTGCATCATGTTTTACGGAACGAGAGAGACCCAAATTCTAAAAGTTCAAATGGAACTCGAACAGTTGCGTTAGAAAACCGAAGAGTTGTATTGTTTTGAATTCTAAAGGTTTCTGGAAACCTAAAAGATAGGAATAGAGATTGAATTAGCCGTTACAGAATTAAAATAATAAATTAAAAAAACCTACATATCTAAATATTCAAGAAAACCGAAAAGTAGGAAATCAAATACAGATATTTGTAAGGCAAAAATTGAAAAAAAAAACCTTTAACAGCTAGGCAAAGATAGCATTAAATGATGTTACTAAAACTCAAAACGACAACCGCTGGAAACAAAACGCAGATAGTTCCTAAAACATACACTCCTAGATCTTTAATAAATGAAGAGCTCGACCATAAAGATAGAAAATGACCTTACAAGAGCTTTTTTAAAGCTTCAGATCTGTGAGCTTGAACCCTGCAAAAAGCAAAAACACACAACCGTTAATTACCAGAGAAAAAAAAAATGAAAGAGACTGGAAGAGTCTTAAGTATTTTTAGATCTGATAACAGTGAAAAAGCGAAATCCAAAACTCAAAACCAGTTTGTGTACGCAGAAAGTGCAAGCAACATAGAAGTAAAAGAGACTACAATCTCTTAGATTATAACAACAGTAACACAAAATAAAACATCAGTCTCTTCTCTTCTAAAAAATAAAAGATAGTAAACAAATATGCTTATTAAACAGAGATACTTGTCACAAAATTATGAGGATATTAGTTCTTGATTTTCTCAAAAAACAAACACATTGTATAACAACAACCAAAAAAATAGACATGATTACCTGAAAACTATAGTGTAAGAAATGAAACACAAAACAAAAATATTTAACATAAACAACTTTGAAATAAAAGCAAAAGGTGTTGACAAACCCTAGCTTCGTGGCTTACATGAAAGGATCAAAGCGGCGGAACAAACACTTACTCTTCTTTTTTCTTCTTTATAGTGTTTGTTTTTCGAGAGTAAAAAGAATGGAATAGATAAGAACAAGAAGATGAAGAAAGAGAGAAATGAAGAGAAGAGAGGAGAGGAGAGGAGAGAATGGTGAGTGGGGTGAAGTTTCTGCTTTTATCTGCTTTTGCTTTTGCTTTTTCCTGGGCTAGGATCTGATGAATCTCTCAGAGAATACACACATTCAAGTATTCAACACACTCTCTCTCTCTCTCTCTCTCTATTCTCTTTGGGCTTTTTTTATTTTTCTATTTTTTTATTTCTGTTGTTTCTGATGTTGGTGTACTGTTAGGTGGGGACCCGTGTTTCAAGCGAGCGTGGATAAGACAATGGTCGGGCCTCGCACGTGCGGCCACCGCTTGCTATTTGTAACAAGTATGCCTTACCTCCGCACTATTCTTTCCGAATTTTCTCATTGGATTCTCTTCTTTGTTTTGACCCTTCGCTGCTCATTTACTTTGTTCTCGTTTTTGTACTCAAATATCCATTTATGTATAAATTATATTAACCCAAAAGCGATTATTAAGATTATAAATTTTATTATGTTTAGTTAAAATTTTAAATTTTAAAATCTAAATATCTTATTACACTACATATAGGTATTGATGCCCTGAATTAATTTTATACTTAAAAAAAGTATGTATGTTCGTATTATTAGTTTGCGTCACAATATAGACTCTGACAAATTATATATAATATTAACAAGTTTATATTAATCCAATATAATATGAAGTAGCACCTGGAATTGTGTAGATTCTCATAGTCCTATGCAGATAAAAGCCTTGGAGTTGAAACGGTAATTATATTTAGAAGAGAGTGCCTTGGCGTACTTGACGGTAAATAAATTGATTTACATTTTTTGTTTACTGTTGTCCTCGATATCTGATGTATTCTGGAGCCGTTGTTTTCTTTAACTTTTTTAATGTTATCTAATGGTAATTTAAAATAGAGTAAACGATATGTTCCCAACCAAGGTTTAGTGAAACTATTGATTGGTACCCTTGGTTTCATAAATTTTATATTTTCACCCTTAAATGGACACCGTTTCCTTTATTTTAACCGTTAAAGGCTAAAATGGTCTTTTTCTTCTTTTTCTCTCTTCCCTTTCCATTTCTTCTTCATCTCTTTCTCCTCTTTCCATCTTTTTCTTTTTCCCTCCACATCTCAAAATGACTGCGTTTTAGGCCCACCCACCCGATTCCGATGGTGTCTTGACGCCCTGCCACGACCATTCGATCTCCCACCAAAGCCCCTTTATCCCTTACTTTGCAGATCCTGCAAAGCACACCCTGGGCATATTATGAAATCAATCCAGCCGCCATCCTTTTTGCCACTTTTCCAACTTTTTTTCACCCAAAACCACCACCATCTGCCTCCATAAACCTCCCACAACAAAACTTCAGCCTTTCCTCAATTGAAACTAGCCATCCCAAACTAGAAAACGTTGACCACAGCTGGGTTTTTCTATGCGCTGTGCAATTGTCTCCAACCGGATTCCGGTTGATTTTGGCGGCCTCAACCCCAAACGACACCACCCTGCACTCACAGGCATCTCCCCTTCAAAACCCCCAACTTCCCGACCATGATTGCCCGCCGTTCACTGCTGCCACTCAACTTTGGGTTTTATGAAATTAGTTGAAATGAGAGTTTGATTGGGTTGTGGAACTGATTTTTTATTTAGTTTTTTGTTTTTCATTTTGTTTGATGTTTTAGTTTGATTGTTGTGTGTTGTGGTGAATGTGTTGGGAAAGAAAAAGGGCCGAATATGGTGGTGGTTTGGTCGGCTAGTGTTGGGAAAGAAGAAGGGCCGGTTGTGTTAGCGGTTTGGCTAGCTGGTGTTGGGAAAAAATAAGGGCTAGCTATGGTGGGTTTGGAATAGGATGTGAAGAATAGAAGGGGAGATGAAGAGAAGGTCCAAGGGTAATTTGGTAAAAGAACCAACTGTCCCTATGCCATCGCTAACGACATCTGTTTAAGGGTAGAAATCTGAAATTTAGGAAATCAGGGGTATCAACCTGTGATTTCACTGAACCTTGGGTGGGACCATGCCGTTTACTCTTTAAAATAAAAGCACGGTCAAAACACAGGTGTCAAATTTTGAGGTAGGTTTCATGGAGAATATGTTAGATTAAAAGGGACGGAATTGTAATGTACCGTACAGGGACAAAAGAGGTCGTCACTGTTTATTCCTTTACACGTGTTGTTCATGCCTCAAATATTCTAATTAAACTAAACTAATAAATCTAAACGGGTCTGGTTGGATACCAGCTAATAGTAATCGTATCCAGCTCAAAGACATTCTCAATATTCACAATGCTAGTTTAGATCTTGCCAATAATGCGGCGAGTAGCCAAGGGCCTCCTCTGCCCTTTTGCATGATTCTACTTCTTGGTATATCTGAGAATTGAGGTGATATATACTTTAATGCTTCCCTTTTAACTTTTTTCTCAGGATTCTTTCCTTTATCCTCCTCTTCTAAACCAATAACATTTCTTCATGGATAAGAAATAGAAAGATGACTTCAAATGAATCATAAACAATGACCCATTGGATTCAAACTAAATATCATATATCCAATTTTAACATACTTATAATTTACAAACAAACATATTTTCTTATTAAAACCTAGAATGTCTAAGATATCATACATTAATAATGAAGGACAATACTACACTTATAATTCAATCTTCTAAACTTTCTCTTACAACTCTGACGTGACAGTTTAATTAAATCTTGTTTACCCAATTCTAACTGACCAAATTTAAATTGTCACATCGAGATTATGAGAGAAAGTTTATAAGATTGAGTTGTGAATAAATTTTTATTAAATAATGAATTAACTTTATAAGTGATAAAGATATATAATGTAGATTGAGAAAGATTACTCTAAAGTCTAAACCTTGGTCATATTATTTAAAAAAAGCAAAAAAAGCATAACATTCTTGAAATTTGAAGACATAGGTTATTATTGTCAATCGGTAACAATCAAACATGTGATATGGAGTTTATACACGAAAGGAATAATAAATATGGAATTGGATTTTTGTATAATATATAAAAATGAGTTAAAGTATTTACGCAACTTTGACATGCCAAGTATTGAACTGGGGCTAAACATTAAGCATATGATACGGAAGTGATAGCGTTGCTATAATAAGTTAATAACAATCCAAACATTAATGTCCTTCTCTTCGGGTCAAACAGTACATACACATTTAAATGGTTGAATTCAGGAATCTTCCACTTTATATATTAATAAAAAATGAACAGTGCCACAATAAATAGAATATATGATCCCAATTATAGCCCTTTTTTTTTAAATAGTAAACCAAAAAACATTGGGAAACAGTGACAATTATTAAGAGGGTTGGATGGATGGCAAAGTTTGATAATGAGACGGACGAAAGTTTCAATGTCCATTGTTGGGCAAGGACATATTCTTGATGGCGACTGGCCTGCAATCAAAAACTAGAACAAGTGAGTGTTACGTTAGGTTAGGTGTGGTGGCCTGGTAGGTTCACAACATGCAGAGGCAGAACCCCCTCTTTCAGTCTTCCTCTCTTCTCCAGTCATTCTTTTCTCCAAATGTCATTTCTCAATCAACGTTCTTCCCAAACAGTTCACTGAAACACGTTTAAAACGGTAAATAGTTTTTAAATTTTATTGGGGTAGAACAACATGTTTTCACCCAGGTTTGGTGAAACGATATTTTTCCACTCATCAAATTTCAAAATGATATTTTTCTACCCTTCATTAGGTTTTATTAGTGCTTTCTGTTAATATTTGATTGAAAAAACAAAAATATTTTTAAATAGTTTATTTATTAATTAGTTTATTATAAATTAAAATTTAGTTAAATCAAAATCTTTACTCGATTATTTATTAGTAGTATAAAAATATATTTTTCTCTTTGTTTATTTAATTAATTAGGAATATTGATTTTTTATGTTAATTAATAAAAATAAAAAACATTATATTATGAAAAACATTATAAATTTAATAGATTATTGAATAATAGTGATGAGATAGTGATGATATTATAAATAAATATTAAGTTTGTTTAATTTTAATATTACTCTTAACTTTGTAAGTGGAGCTAATTAATTTTTTTTTTTTTTTTTTACTTTTTGGCTTATTAAAAAATAATAAGAAATTTATAAAATCAAATATTTAAGAGTATTTTTGTCTTTTTAATAAAGTATAAACGGAAAACATAACAGAATCTAATGAAGGGTGAAAAAGTGTCATTTTGACAAACCTTGGGTGAAAAAATGTCATCTGTATGTTATGAAGTAAATGAAAGTTTTATAATAGTAGGGTGCGTTTGGTTCAATATTTCTATCCATATTTTCAATCATATTCCAAATATCTGGCTGGAAAAGGCTAAATCGACACGTTACGACACAAATTCGACTGGTCTGTGTCGTAACGCAATTTTCCTGCCAGATTTTGGCCGTGACGGCCAAAATCTAGCGCTACAGGTGGTGTGGGTGTTTTTGTCATTTTATATATTGGAGTATTTAATTAAATCAGCAAACCTTTTGGTTTTTTTTATAAATTTATAAATTTTATCTCGTAATTACTCCCCTATCCAACTATCTAAAATTATTGTCAAAATCCTATCCAAAATAATGAACCAAACGTACCTAATCTCCCATTGTTTGTTGTAGGGCCTGGACCATATGGTGGTTAGTTGTTATTGAATAATATTTCAGGCAGGATAAATTAGTAATTATTAGACAAATATATTTTGGGAGATATCATATCATGTGGGATCGTAAATAGGGATTAAGGTAATAGATGGATGTAACGTAATCAACGGGGTTGTCCTTTAACTGCTTATAACAACTTGTTTTTTAAGTTATTGAACGCCATTTATCTCATTTTTATTATTGTTGACAACTTTGGATAGCAACCTTTATTATTTCTCGTCCAACTACTTTTATTCCTATCAAAATTATATCAACAATTATGGTATCTGTGGACTTTAAGCCCATGCCTGCCCATTAGGCCTTTTCCTAAAAAAATAATATATATAAATAGTTCTACTACAATAATGTCACAGTAATAATCTGGTAACATTATTGAGCTAATTTAATATTATATGGATTGGAAAAGCAAATGAAATGTTAAAAATATGAATCCCATAAAAGAAAAACTTGTAACATTAAGCAATGCTTTTTAACAAACTACAAGTTATTATTTAAATGTAAGAACTTGGCATTGGGTCTTAACATATTATTATTATTTATTATTTAATATTGAGTATAGAACTCTTATGTCTCATTTATTTAAAAGTTAGTTGTTATTAGAGTGTATCACGGCATTGACGCCAACGCAACATTAGGTAGAGAATAAAAAATTGATCAAATGTAACAAAAGATTGCATTGTTTTATAATGGAGCCCGATCCATTCCCATCTGTGCGATGCTGGTATTGGAAACTTGTTTTTAAGTTGTAAGGAATCTATGCCATCGACTTTTTAATTGTGTTAGAGGCATCATACAAGCCCATGGGTAATATAATGACAACAAATACATGGATCTTTACAAACTGAGGCCCGCCATGGTTAATAGGCCTCTGAAAAACTTCTCTTGAAGAACACAACCCCAATTCCTCCAAGGCCCAGTATTAGGAACTATTTTCGTGGACCACAAACATGAAATGAAATTTAGAGTTAACGACATGTTCTCATCCAAAAAATACCCATTGACAAATTCATACCCACCAACTTTTTAAATACCCTTTTAGTACCCACATGCCGCAACACATTTTTTTTAGCAATTTTCGTTGTGAGAAAGGGAAAAATTGTCAAAATTCTGTTATTGTTGAGGGCAGAATGGTCAACAAACATTTGGCCTTCGGAGAAAAAGAAAAGATAGCGGCCAATGCACGTTAGCAGTGTCATCGTTGGCGATTTTTGTCATTTTTTGGCTGATGTCAACGTTCAAAATCACTTCCAAGACCACTCGTAGAATCTCCATCATCTTCTCTACAAAGTTTGTCGTCATCACTCACCATTTCCCACCACCACCTACATTCGCACAACTGCCTCTTCAAGTTGGATTTTCAGTCGATTTCTTTGCCAGAAATTCACCCAAACACCACCATCACACTCCCCATAATGCACTTTACAAAACCCTTATGTAATGACTCTTTCTAGCTAGTATACTTGGAAAATATAATACATTAAAAACACATAAACATATTAGTAAAAGATAATGGGCCCGAAAATTTCTTTAATTTATATATAAAATTCTTTACATTGATAAAAGTCTCATGTACATAAGCTCAAAAATAGTAGACAGTGGTGCCATTTCCTTTCGCCTCTCGACGTCCATCCGACCGCTTCTCATCTATTTCCTGCAAAAACAAAGAAAACAACGGAGTGAGCGCTAATTGCTCAGTAAGTAAATCCGCTAAACTAGCCTTTTCTCTCCGTTGCTCACATTTTAATTTCTTTCCTTACATTACTTTATTCTTATCTCTTTGTTCTCTCTTTCTTTCTAATTTCTCAATATTTCTTCTCTCTTTATTTCTTTCTAATTTCTCACTACTCATGGTGGTAGGCATAAGCCATGCATAAGTGTGATGCACATGCACAAATGCATGAAGTGCACATTTTTCTGTTTTCTATTCTTATTCTGTATTTCTTTCTTTTCTCTATTTCTCTTCTTTCTTTCCTTCTCTTATGCTTTCTTATTCTTATTCTTATTCTTTCTTTCTTATTCTTATTCTTTATTTCTTATTCTTTTCTTGCTCATTCTTTCTTATTTTTTGCTGATCGGACTCGGTTGAGGCATGGATTCGGAACCCTAGCCGTTTGAGTGTATTCTTCTTTCTTGGGTACAGCCCTCATCCATATGCACTCTTACAGGCTATACCAATTCTTCTTCTTATTCTTAGGCCGCTCACTGAAGGCGGTGTGCATGCGGGAAAATTCTTCTTGTCACTCACGGGTTCCCCATCACAACAACCTATTCTTTTCTTCTTTTAGAGTATTCTTTAATAACGTTTCTTTCTTTCTCTCTATTCTTTAAGTTCTAGTGCATATGTATATGCATATATGTAGATGGCTCATGCTCATTATTCTTTCTAAATGCAAATGTTTAAATGCCAGGATGCCATGTAGCATAAAAATAAGTTTCTCTTTACCATCTATAAGCTCATGTCAATTCATAAATGAATAAAACTCATGCGTACACTTCTCTTAGACATTTCATCAAACATATTGCATGCATAATCAAATTCTAATTTGGCTACCATTCTATCTCTTTCTCAAGTCACCAATATTTGGAGTAAAACTCCATCAAACAACTACTAAATCTGTCCAAAACAATACACTCCCAAAAATTCTACTCAACTCTTTCTAACTTCAACCAAACTTCAATGAATCATCATACAACCAATACCACTTCTCATGGCTAAATTTCACTCATCAATAATCATCAAACTCATTAATAATTCATCAATTTCATCAACAATTCTCAAAATCATAAGCATATACATATATGTAAAATCTCTACACACTTAATTTCTCAAATCATAACTTTGGTTGGATTTACTCTCCTTGTACTTGAGTAAGTCCACTAGAATCTCTCTTTGTTTGGTAGACTTGTTATTTCTCTAAAACCTAAGCATAAACACTATAGGAATTCAACACTTTTAAAAATTAATCCCACCTCTATTGCAAGAATTCTTACCTTTGGGTGCTTAGGATCAAATCTCTACCAAAATCCAACCAAAAGCCCTCTAAAATTCCTTGGAAATTTGATAAAGAGATGAGAGAAATTGAGAGTGAAGATGGCGTGAGAGGGAGTAGAGAATGATAGGGTCTTTGTGCTTGAAGCCTTAATATCTCATATTAATAGGCATACTTTCACATTTTGCCCTCAATCAAATATCCTTATTTTTCACTCCCCACATTTTCAACTAATTAGGGGTAGAATAGTCATTTTGCCCCTAAGGAAGATTTCTCTAGAATTCTCAAAAATTCTAGCCGGCTCTTCACCTAGGCGAAAAAATCCAGAGAGTTCTTTGCCTTGGCGAAGTCTGAAATTTCTGACACAAATTTGGGCAAAAAGTTCATTACCGCGGCGACAAAATTTCTTTGCCGCGGCAAAGTTTACAAATGTCAATTTTTCAATATTTCTCCTTGAAATAAGCAAAACTAAGGGCATAAAAATATACATAAGTTACGTACCTCAATGTGAGCGTTACACCTTACCTCCATCACGATCCCTTGCTAGCCGATTGTAAGCTGTGCACCTCGCAACCTTTCAACTTCCAAGCCGATTTCTGGTGTCGAAAATCGTCCCTGTCACAACCAATTGATTCCCTGGATCTTCCTCTCCAAAAGCCCCAACATTCCTGATTCTGTTTGCTCATCGATCGTCGGCAATTGAAGCTTACCCACCCTAGGGTTTTTTGAGTTTTGATCGATTAATTGGGTTTGATTCGTTCTATTTTTGTGTTTGTTGGGTTGAAAAACAATCGAGGAATGTTTATTTGTAATATTTGTGATTTGTTTGTTGATTTTCTGGTAACCGGCAACAATTGTTGGCAATGGAAGATGATAAGAAGAGAAGAAAAAGAGAAAAGTTTTTTAGTAAATTACTTTATTTCCCACCCAAATAAGAGGAAAACCTAATATTTCAATAATAACACAGTATTTTAAAAGTTTGAATGGATCATTTTTTGGGTGAGAATATGGGAAAATGCTATCCTTACTCACTTTTGTTAAAATAATATATAGTACCGTACTATGCTATATTTACAAAAGTGAGTAAGAGAAGTGAGTAAGGCTAACATTACTCGAGAATATGTTGTTAACTCATGAAAATTATCACCATTGAATCAATGAAAAAAATCTGATTCACGTATCCTATCTCATCCGAATGCTGTTAGGATTCACTTAATGTTGTCATAACTGAATTCAGTCTAATATAAGTCTCTAGTCCATCATGATTTGAAGAGTATGTCATACCGTATTGTCTTTTACCAACCAGACCAAGATATAATTCAAAAGGAGTAAAGTATATTCATTGTACTTTAACCTGAATATCATGAAAATAGAACCAAGCACTTCAATGAATACTTAAAGCTTTGATTAGTTTGATTTTAAGAGGTTTATTATGAAGAAAAAAAAACTATCAATTGAACCATTTCAATACAATGCTCAAACTGATCAAAATGACAAAATTATGATTGTGATTAGATGATAAAGAAAACGTTCTTTTATCATCACAATGACACTCCCTTCACATAATGGTTGATTGTACTTCAAAATCGGCCTATAACAAATATCAATCATTGCTGTCGACCCATTACAATCTATAACTGATATATCCCATCCTTTTTAAGCACAAAATTAAACTACCTTCATACACAGTACACACTCTCAACTTAGAAAATCAAACAATCTGAGGTAATGCAACCCACGTGATACTATAACTACCTGAACGACACGTCACAATCTCATTCGTTTTGTTTCATTATTACTGTTCAATAGGTCCAATCAAACACTGCCACACCATAAGTCTACGTATACCAAACTCCACCTAATTATTTTCCTACTCAGCAACAACTTATTCATTTCGTTTCTCTCCAAATAAAGATCTACAAACACTTTCTCTTCTTTTCTCTCGCCAAAGCTCACTCACTCGCTCACTTTTTTCCATTTTTTTTTTTAAATTAAAAGAATGACCGACTCAATTGAACCATCCACGTCTTCACGGGAAGATCCGGACCCCAATCCAAATCTGAATTCCCTAATTCATCCGCGGAGGGAGCCCTTTGAGCACGGCCTTTTGCCAATTTCCAAGCTCATCTTCACCGACCCGATCCAGAGCCTAATCCCGCTCAAACAGAAGCTCGCCTCCGCTCAGCGAGTCAACTCGGAAATCCTCGCTGAGTCGCTCCAGATCTCCGTCGACCACGCGCGGCTCGTTCTTGATACCCTTGCTTCAGTTCTCCACGCGGAATCCGACCCGATTGTCAAAGCCCGGCCCGGAGAGATTGACTCGGTTGGGGCGGATTTGAGGGATCTGATACTGTTTTTGTATATACAGTCGTATAAGAGGTTGTTGCCGAGGACGCACAAGGACTCCGCCTCGGTTGCTGACGTGTGGCCTTCCACGTCTGCTTTTGATGGATACTTGTCGGCGTTATCGCCGCTTCAGGTGAGGGTTTTCCTGGTTGTTGTTGAAAATTGTGCAATGTGCTTCTAGTAGGATGATTTGGTTTTTATTGCTTTTATTGACATTAGTTTTTTAGTTAATGGAATTGTGTTTGATTGTGTTTTATCTGCTCTTGTTCTAGGTTGGTTTTAAAATGTTGCCCTGTGATTTCTGTTGTGTGTTGGGTGCAAATTCAGAAATAAATTGGTGTTTTGATTCATTATTTGAGTTGGATCACTAGTTTGGGAGCGTTCTGTGTTTATCGCTTGTGGATGATAGAAATTTTAAAATATATACCCGAGTATAATGCCATATTTGTTTAGACAGCTCAGTTGTTAAGTTTTTTCTGAAGATTGTTCAAATTCATTCCGCCTTTTGGAAATAAAGAATTGCTGCATTTTAGAAATGCATCTTGGCAATCTGTACGACATATTGCAACTTTTATTAATTTTGGATCTTTGGATGTGGAAATTTTTGTATTGTATTTGAAATGTGCTTGTGCTTTTCAGTATTTATTAACTTAAGTTTTATATGTGAAACTCTCTTGGGCATTTTAGCTTTTTAGTATGGTGTTTCTAGCCTTAACTTATAAATCGTTGACATTTGTGAAAGAAAATATGTTTAAAAATAGTGTTTTGTAGTTTACTGTTTTTTAGGTTGAGCCAAGTCATTTGTTTCCTTACCATGTCTGGTACTTAATCTATTCAATCTATTAACTTCAGATACATTCTCTTGCTCAAGTGAATGTACCTTCTCATTCTTCACCTGTAGCCATTATAGGATGGATTGGATGGGAAATACTTAGAGTAGCTGTAGTATCATAGAGATTGATACCCTGCTGTTTCTACACAGATGTTACAAAGTGTACTGCTAGTAAACTTGCAAGAAATGTGAATTTGACCACTTATGGACATCTACAATTTATAAAAATTATGAGTACAGTTGATATGTTGTCATTGAAAATTTTGACTGCAGTCATTTTGTTTTGTTATTTTCTTTTTTTTTTTTGGATTTAGACTTAAAGCCTGTTGTTCAAATTGCAGCTTGTGCGAAGCAACAGCCGTCGGTTCATGCCTTCACAAACTGATGAAGAGACTCATCAGTTGTCCTATTTGCAAAAGCACATGGGTAACATTCTTCATCTTTTGGCGGAGCCTGCTGAGGGGGAAGGTGAAGAGTCTTTGGTATGTCATAATACTTTTCAGTTTATCGAGTTTGGTGAAGTTTATACTTTTTTTTTTTTTTTTTTTGGGTAAATTAAAACTGGACTATTAAAACTGGAAGTGGACTTTAAACTAAAGGCGAAATGCAATTTTTTAAAATGTTGGTGTTTTTGGCATTTGACTTGGTAGAGCTGGTAGACAAGTAAGGTATATTACAGTGTGCTGGAGACATAAATATATCTGTACTGTATACTGAAAGAGACCGGTATGAGCTCTCTTGTAACGCCTACCAAAGTTTTCTGAAGTTTGGAATATTAATATTGAAAGGTTATATGTTTGGAAATTTAATTGAATTATACAAACTATAATATGAGCACTTTACCTAAATAATCTCCTTCCATAGTGAATGGAGATATTTGAGTCATCATTTGGCTTTGATAATTACCCTGCCTGATGCGGAGTGCATCATCTAGTTGAAGTGTGCTCATTTCTTACCTTATTGTCCGGTGGTTCTCTGTTTAATATTGATTCTCATGGTGGACTGGGATACTTTAGTTGTGATTTGGCTTGGACAAAGTCACCTGCTTGTCATGTGGGTTACATCATCGTTGTTATTTGTTATGATTTCATGAGTTTGTCCTACCAACCTCTATCTATGTTTCTGTGCGTGTGTTTAGCAAATATACGGTTTCAACTCTTTGAACTGTGTGGAAATTTGCTATTTGTCTTATGGCATCTATATTGTGTGTGCTCACTGTATGGCTGTAGGTTGGTTGTAATTTACTGGTTTACCCTTTTTAGGTTTTGAGCGTGGAAGGATTTGAGCACCTTGGGTTTCTGGTTCAATTTGGTGATAAGGGATCTGAAGGAATTCCTTTAAGCCAAGCTGCTCCATTTTTTGCCAATTCAGATCCGGACATGCCTGCGGTACCCGTACCTGCTGCACAAGTTCATGAGTGGATTCTACAGAATATAGCTTCTGCTCTGGAACATCTTACTGAAAGAGCTTCTGCAAAAGAAAATGGGCCAGCCAATGCCTCTGATCCAGATGTTGCAATGGCTGATGCCTGCACAAGTTCAGTCAAACCCTCAACAAGTACCAGGGGTCCAAGTTATATTGAGGGGATCTCAAAATCATCATATGTAAAGCAAGCTTCAGATCTTAAAGGTTCTTCTGTGAAGGTTAGCTTTGAAACTCAGATTTTGAGTAGTACTTATGTTTTACTGTTAGTCTTCATGATTACTATCTTATTCCCTCTTAAATTTGTGGTTATTATCAATGCTATATTTTCACATATTATTCTCAGCTTACTTTCTCTTGGCATTTACTACTAGCTTGTTCAATTTATGGTGCTTAGGGTTGTTACAGGTGAATCTGGAACCAAGTCTGCCAAATTTGACCTAATTTCATTTTTATAATGTAATAGCTGTAGAAATTATAGAGGCTGGTAATAGCAAGTAGGTGGATCCATTTTGTTTAGAATTGAGATTTAAATCGTCCTAAGCTGATTTGTCAAGGCTTAACTTGTTATGATGTAACAATCTGAAAAGAAACATATATCTGTTTTCATTTGTGCTTCCATCTAATGTGCATTTGCATAAGCTTTTAGTGCTCCATGTGATTGTAATTTTTTTTTTTTTTTAAATTTCATTTTTGAATGCTTTTAACAGTATCTTATATGATTGCAGGTTATCAATTGTCATGATTCTGTCATTTACATTTTAGCACCTTTGAGATATGCCACGATATACGGATGCTCAGATGCTACCATAATTCTTGGAGCCGTTGGAAAGGTAATAATGAAAATGTTNTTTGTAAATTAAAACTGGACTATTAAAACTGGAAGTGGACTTTAAACTAAAGGCGAAATGCAATTTTTTAAAATGTTGGTGTTTTTGGCATTTGACTTGGTAGAGCTGGTAGACAAGTAAGGTATATTACAGTGTGCTGGAGACATAAATATATCTGTACTGTATACTGAAAGAGACCGGTATGAGCTCTCTTGTAACGCCTACCAAAGTTTTCTGAAGTTTGGAATATTAATATTGAAAGGTTATATGTTTGGAAATTTAATTGAATTATACAAACTATAATATGAGCACTTTACCTAAATAATCTCCTTCCATAGTGAATGGAGATATTTGAGTCATCATTTGGCTTTGATAATTACCCTGCCTGATGCGGAGTGCATCATCTAGTTGAAGTGTGCTCATTTCTTACCTTATTGTCCGGTGGTTCTCTGTTTAATATTGATTCTCATGGTGGACTGGGATACTTTAGTTGTGATTTGGCTTGGACAAAGTCACCTGCTTGTCATGTGGGTTACATCATCGTTGTTATTTTTTATGATTTCATGAGTTTGTCCTACCAACCTCTATCTATGTTTCTGTGCGTGTGTTTAGCAAATATACGGTTTCAACTCTTTGAACTGTGTGGAAATTTTCTATTTGTCTTATGGCATCTATAGTGTGTGTGCTCATTGTATGGCTGTAGCTTGGTTGTAATTTACTGGTTTACCCTTTTTAGGTTTTGAGCGTGGAAGGATTTGAGCACCTTGGGTTTCTGGTTCAATTTGGTGATAAGGGATCTGAAGGAATTCCTTTAAGCCAAGCTGCTCCATTTTTTGCCAATTCAGATCCGGACATGCCTGCGGTACCCGTACCTGCTGCACAAGTTCATGAGTGGATTCTACAGAATATAGCTTCTGCTCTGGAACATCTTACTGAAAGAGCTTCTGCAAAAGAAAATGGGCCAGCCAATGCCTCTGATCCAGATGTTGCAATGGCTGATGCCTGCACAAGTTCAGTCAAACCCTCAACAAGTACCAGGGGTCCAAGTTATATTGAGGGGATCTCAAAATCATCATATGTAAAGCAAGCTTCAGATCTTAAAGGTTCTTCTGTGAAGGTTAGCTTTGAAACTCAGATTTTGAGTAGTACTTATGTTTTACTGTTAGTCTTCATGATTACTATCTTATTCCCTCTTAAATTTGTGGTTATTATCAATGCTATATTTTCACATATTATTCTCAGCTTACTTTCTCTTGGCATTACTACTAGCTTGTTCAATTTATGGTGCTTAGGGTTGTTACAGGTGAATCTGGAACCAAGTCTGCCAAATTTGACCTAATTTCATTTTTATAATTTAATAGCTGTAGAAATTATAGAGGCTGGTAATAGCAAGTAGGTGGATCCATTTTGTTTAGAATTGAGATTTAAATCGTCCTAAGCTGATTTGTCAAGGCTTAACTTGTTATGATGTAACAATCTGAAAAGAAACATATATCTGTTTTCATTTGTGCTTCCATCTAATGTGCATTTGCATAAGCTTTTAGTGCTCCATGTGATTGTAATTTTTTTTTTTTAAATTTCATTTTTGAATGCTTTTAACAGTATCTTATATGATTGCAGGTTATCAATTGTCATGATTCTGTCATTTACATTTTAGCACCTTTGAGATATGCCACGATATACGGATGCTCAGATGCTACCATAATTCTTGGAGCCGTTGGAAAGGTAATAATGAAAATGTTGGTTCCTATAATTAGAAGATTGAGTGGATCCCTGATTTATATTTGCTTGATTAGCAGATCTCATTCATTTTATCATTAATTCATTTACCTGTTTACTGAAAAACTGTTTTTTGGTAGTTTTATAAAATAAAAAAATGAAAACTTTTTGTGGTGTTAATGTTGGAAAATGATTTGTGTTGGAGCTTTTAATTAGTTGGATGAGGACAATCTTTTTGTAACTTTGACAGAAAATAATTCCGTCTTGGTTGGAGAATATACTGTCTTACTGGCTTTTCAGCAGAAAATAACTGCTCAATCGTTAACTGACTAATTGATAGCTTAGCAATGTATACTTTGCATGCTTCCTGTGAGGAAGGTGGGATGAGCAGGTTGATTTTATGTGGGGCAAGTCGATTCTTGACACGTTAGTGGGCTTTGGTTTTTCTAAAGTTTCAGGATAACTTATCCTTTTCTCATACTTATTGAGATTCTGTGTTGGCTTGAGTTTGGTTTTTTGTAGTGTTTGATTACTGGATTACATACTTTTTATGTTTTTCTCTCATTATTAGATTTTGCAGTTTCTTATTGAAACAGAGGGTTCTTCTCCATGTACAACTTTCTCATTCTGCATTCTGTGTCCATCAGTCATCAAAGAACTGTTCATTGAAATATTGCTTTTGAGAATTAGCCAGTGATGATGAGAATGTGCTCTAGAAAAGCAGTCAATTTTCTGCCTTTTTTTCATGTTGTTTATTCATTGGGTCACTCAGTCACTAGCTAATATGCTCTCCCAGCTCTGCCTTTGAGGCTTAGTGGGGAGAGCTAGCAGCATGTTCCCTCCCTCCAACTAAAAACTTTAATGACTCTTATTTGTATACAAAAACCTTTGAAAACTCAGCTTTATGATGCCTTCAATTCTGATGCATGTTCATACATGTTAGCACAAAATAATGTTATAAACTGCCTTCACCTCAAGTACACTTTTTTGGCTCATTCAAGATGACTGATTACTGTGCTTTTTAAGCCAATTAGACAAGATATTGTTGACCCATTCCTTTTATAGCTGCTAGAAAGAGGTTTTATCAACTAGGATGTGACCTTGGACATACATGTGACAAGCGCTTTCTTTTGCCAATGACATGAATTCTGTCATCAGTTCATATTTATAACTGGAAGATGTGTATGTATTATATGGAGACTCCTTGTAGTTTATTGGTATAGGAAAATGATACCAGGACATCAAAAACTTTTATAATTTAGGTGGTCCTATATTCGTAAGATTCTTCACTCTAGAATGCTATTTTTCTTAAACTGCTTTATAAAGGCTTTCAAACTCCTATGCAAATTCTTTTGTTCAATAATGGTGTCTTAAAAGGGGTGTTATTGTCATTGCATAAGCTATGTGCTTTTATATACTATCATTATGGGAAATGTCGATGTAGTGTATTTTTTGCTTGACAGTTTTCTTTCAGATTTTTTTTTTTTTGTTTAATCTTTCTTCCCTATTATATCTATTAAATCAGGATATTTATCAATAGCTATTCTTTCCTGTTATATCAAGTTAATTAGGACATTTATGGCTAGCTATCAACTCAACATGCCCTTGTATCCCAGATGAAAGTTTATTCTCAGAAGTCGTAATATATGCTTTTGATTCCTTTACAGTCTGTAAGAGTTGAGCATTGTGAGCGAGTTCATGTGATTACAGCAGCAAAACGTGTTTGCATTGCCAATTGTCGTGAATGTGTATTCTTTCTGGGAGTAAACCAGAGACCACTCATTGTTGGTGACAACCATAAACTGCAGGTGCGTGTGTCAGTATATGTAAAATTGTATTCCCAGTGGCAGTTTATTTTTTATTTTACTCCTTGATAGCTACAGTTGGTTTAATCTCTTTACATTATGGTAGTGCTTATAACTACCCATCTTATGTTAAACCAAAAATTTTGACTGAAAGTGACACATTATGTTGCCGCAAATTAGCTTAGCTTAGTGTGGAGTTGTTTTAGCTCTAGTGAGAAGTGATTTGGCGATAAATGATATCTGAGTAGATACCATAGTTGTGGAAGTATTTCAGAGAATCTTGTGATAAATTAAATATTCTTTGTAAAAATATGGTTACAATTTTTGTCAGGTGGCACCATACAATACATTTTATTCTAAGCTGGAGGAGCACATGGCAGAAGTTGGTATTGAGGCAACTATAAACAAATGGGATGAGCCCTTGGCATTGGGAGCGGTTGATCCGCATGATTCACTATCTCATCCGGCTGGTGTCTCTGATGTTCAAGCTGAATCAGCTTCACATTTAGACCCAGACCAGTTCACAAATTTCTTGGTATACTTCTGATATTTTGGGTTCAAATTTAGGCTATTTTTATTGTTTTTCTCTGTTTAATTGTAATCATACCTGTTATTTCTTGATTCACAGATCCCAAACTGGTATGGAGGTGAATCCCCTGGGTCAACGAAGGACAACCCATTTCCATTACCAGATGCTTATATGACGTCTCAGCAGAGAAATGTGTGTGCACTGAATTATGCTAAATATTAACAGATGACTGGATGATTTATTTAACATCTGTTTCGTTATCTTTGTTTGCTTGTTATGTTTGTTATAAGTGATGCTCCACAAGTTGCTTGTAAATTCTATTAACCATATTATGTTGGTTTTATGAAATGATTTCTCTTTTCTACAGCAAAAGAACTTGGGTGAGATTAAGCAACTTTTGAGGGAGGCACCCCTTGAAGAAAATCGGAAACGGGAATTATCAAGTGCACTCCATGTATACTTCAAAGACTGGTTATATGGTAATTATCATATTTTGATCTTTGTAGCTTTTATATTTGAAAATAAATATTCTTGGTTCTGTTGCTCAAACCTCTTCTCATTGTATTGGTTGATGTTATGCTCTGAAGGCTTTATGTGGCTTTGAAACTATAGAAAGGTCATAGGAAAAAGAAGTATAAAGGTGATATTGTTGGGAGATCTTGTGTCTATTTTAAAACAAACGTCGGAATGCTAAAGTATAGTTTCCTTATCTTTGTGTACAAATTTCCCGTCCCATTTATCCAATCCATATTCTGTAGTCATATAATTTTCCCAATCTTGTTCCCCTTATTTGAATTAAGTTATTGAAACTGAGGTTTTGATACTTCTCAATCATGGGATTTATGCATCCCTTCTTTTAATCCTTTTGATTCATCTGTATAGATTTATGTCTAGGATTTTGATAGATGAACTTACCTCATATGTGAAGCCATTCTCTGTCAGAAAGAGGGTTTCACCGGTTTAAATTTTCTAAGCTTGTATATATGTAGAAGTTTCAACTGGGATGGTTTACATAGGTTCACTTTCTGCAATAGTGGAAAGTACACAAGTATTTGGTCACCCAAAGCAGGAAACACTAAGAAAGCAAGTTTGCTTAGGTCTGGATTTGTAGGCTTTGTGTGCATCTAATCCCAGTAGCCTACAACACAGGATACACTCTCTCCACCACCATAACATTCCATCTGGTCTACAGACTGTTGGTGGGTTGTGGAGAACTGACATTGTGAAGGATGTCTATACCATACTAATTGTAATTGGTAAAGGAATGCATTTTAAAATTTTGAGATTTTGTTGTATACCTTTCACTCCTTTCTTGTCTTGGGTTAGACAATAAGTATTAGTTGCAGTGTTAGATTTCTTTGTATTGCCTCTTACGTAGTGTTTTATAATTGACTCATCTGTGTGGGTTCTGTAAGAAGTTTTAACCAGCTTGTGTTTAACAGTAAATGAGAATTGGGAACTGATACATCCTGAGGTTAGGACTTGGATGGCACTCAATCCAGACTAAAATTTTCTGTGGTCAATCTCTGGGATGCGAGCAACCAATGCCCATTCTAACATTCATAGATGAACTTTTACCTTTGATTTGAAATTTCATGACACCAAATATGAAGATGTGTAGAATTAAACTTTCTATCTTTGAAATGCTATACCACTTTTAATATTGTTATTACTTATTGCAGCACGATCAGTATATAATTATAATTCTCTTGTAATTACAGCCTCAGGAAATATCCGTCAGCTTTACTGCCTTCAAGGTGACTAATACTGTATGAAGATGCTATGTCACGATTAAGGATCTTAGACAAGGAAACTTTCCGTCTGGTTCAATTTCTGTTTCTACCCTTACCAAGTTCCGTTTGCCATTTCTGTTGGTACTACAGGCTGCTGAGACTCGACCCTATGTAGATTGGGGTGGTACTCCTTTATGCATTGAAAATGGTGCACAGAATGCAATTAGAAACACATTGGCTAATCTCGGTGTAATATTTTTTGGGAAAAAAAAAAATCTTACTGTAATATTTTATTTACTTAGGCTTGCAGTCTTGTGAAGTTTTCTTTTCATTTAATTGTGGCTCTCTTTTTTGGGGTCTGGCCTAGTGCAATTTAAATGGCAACTTCTTTAATTTCTGAGCTTCTCCCATATCTTTTCTTCCCTTGTAAATAATGATTCGAGGTGTTGAATGGTGTTTAATTGATGATTTATTCAGGTAGGATTGAGCAATTTCAATTATCATTCTGGAGATGAATTGAACTTAGAGTAGTAGGTTTGTTGTTTCTTGCCAAAGAAAAAGAAAACTGTATGGATTTTCTACTGGATAAGGGAGATGATGAAGGCTTCCTCCCTAGGTACCGGATTAATCATACATTGATGGCGCTAATTATAAAGCTAGCATATAGGGGTGAGCTGGGACTGAAAAAGGGTCTCTTCACTATTCAGGATACTTAACTCGGGAATTTTTATTTTTCTGAAAAAACTTTTAAACTTGAATCGGGCAGTTATTGATATGCTGAATTTCCTGATAATGTTCTTTTTAAGCTGTAGAGCTACAGCATAGCCTTTTACCTCCACTAAACTTGCCAACTTTCGCGAAGCAGCAATTTTATTCTCTTTCAGTGGTAGGTTTTAGTTTTACTCTTTCTTTGTTAGGAATTGCGCCTTGGGTCTAAGCCCGCGTTTAAACTAGGAATTCTGCAGTTAAACTGCTGAATATCTGGAAACCCACCAAAAAGATTATATCAGCAGCCTGGTCACTGCTCAAAATTTGTTTTGCAGAATAACCCGAAAGCTCTTTTTCTCTGAGTATGTGGTATGGGTTTTCTTCAGTTTTTTAAAAGGTTCTTTTGTGCCCAAGTTTGAGCTCGGTTAGTTGAAACTTTTTAAAGGTTTTTTTATATGTTGGGTTGCATTTACTGCTATTTTCACTATATTAAGTTATCAACTTTTTAATGGAAAAAAACCAACAAATTGAATATCGAACTCACTTGAAAGCTGCTATCGATTTCTTGTGAGACAAGGGCTTATATTTGATGGTGTCGATGAATTTCATTACTCAAGGATCGAGGGGAACTTTTTTGCGCTCTTACGATTTATTGGTAATCAATAAGGATTTGAAGAATGCTTCTGAAAATCTCAAATCCAAATCACCTGATATTTACAAAGACATTGTATTTCAAATGAAATTACCAATGTTATTGTCAAAGAGATGGGGGGCAGATTTTTTTTTTGTTGATGGATGAATACATTGATGCAAATAATGAGCAATTTGTATTTATATTGCGTTATGTTGATAATAATGGACACGTGATTGAACGAGTTATAGGTCTTGAACATGTTACTAGTGTCAAAGCACTGTTCCTTGAGACATCGCTTGATAAGCTATTTTCTAGATGTGGACTGAGTATGTCTAAGTTACGGGGGCAAGGTTACAATGGGGTTTGTAATATAAGAGGTGAATTTAACGATCTTAAAACTCTCATTACGAGGGAGAGTGAATGTGTCAGTATGTTCACTGCTTTGCTAATCTACTTCAAACGGTTCTTTTTAACTGTTGCAAGTAATTATCTTCCAGTTGAAGCTCTCTTTAGTACAGTTCGTAAAATGATGAATGTTGTTGAAGCCTCAGTACATCGTGATATCTTTTGGGGAAAACAAGCTCTTACAGATAATCAAGCACTTAATAGTAAATGGGCTTTCAAGTGGACAATATCTAGATCAAGATATTACTTTGAAGTCTTTTGGTGATACATGTTGGGGTTCATTTTACGATACTTTAATAAGCGTCTCATCCATAATTGATACGCTTGAGATAATTGCAGATGATGTATCAGACCTTGACCAAAAGTACCAAGCAAATATTATATTGGACTTCATGCTTTCATTTAGTTTTATTTTTTTGTCTACGTTTGATGAAAGAAATACTTGCAATTTCAAATGAATTATCATGAGCATTGTAAATGAGGGATCAAGATATTGTGAATGCTACGAAGTTGGTTGATTATGTAAGCAACAATTGCTAGTGATGAGGGAGCATGGATGGGATTCTTTATTTGGTCAAGTTTCATCGTTTTCTGTTGAACATAGTATAGATGTGCCCAACATGAATGATAAGTATCCAACTCAAGGATGACCAAGACATGAAGCTCAAGAGATCACAAATTTGTACTACTATTGCTTTGAATTATTCTATGGCATTTTAGATATGCAACTTCAAGGCTAAACAACCGTTTCGATGAGGTGAATTCTGAATTGCTTATTTGTTTGACATGTCTTTCTCCAAGCAACTCCTTTGCTGCTTTTAATAAACAAAAGTTATTTCGCTTTGCTGAATTTTATCCAAAAGAATTCTCTAGATTAGAGCTTATGGCACTTGAAATGCAACTTGAGACTTATGTTATGGATATGCGTCCTAACATTGAGTTTTTGGGATCGAAAGGGATTAGTAATCTTGCTGAAAGAGTGGTTGAGCCTAGGAAAGATAGCGTGTATCCATTAGTTTATTTGTTGGTGACATTAGCCTTGATTCTACTGGTTACTAGTCCCACTATGAAAAGAGCATTTTCAACACAGAAGATTGTAAAGGATCGACTGCAAAATGAGATTGAAGAATGGATTATTGATAATTTAGTTGTATATACAGAGCAAGATATATTTGACTTTTATAATCTGTGATATTTTGCTGGAAAAAGGTTTGCTGCTCAAAGTTTGTATTTTGGTGCCAAGTTTGATTATGTTAGCTTGTTCTTCAAATGTTGTATTTGGTTGTTTTTTGAAATTGTTATGTGATATTTTAGGTGATGAAAGCCGGTGATTAAGGCCACTTTTGACATTGTAAATCAGTATTAGTTAGAGTTGTTTGGTTTGCATTGTATTTGCTAAAATTTCTCACTGCAAAAGTTGTTGAAATAGTGAGAACTTTGTGTATTTATCTCCCATGTTCTATGAATGAAAACAGAGCAGATACATGTTGAAATTTTTCTCTCCTCATAACTCTCTCTTACATGCACGTTAGCCTTCTTTCTCTCAGTATAATCCAGCTCTAAAACCTACAATTGGTGTCAAAGCCATCCTTGATCTTTCAGGACCAAAAGCACCATACGTGAGCTTCTTCATGGCATCAAACCCAACTCCACTTTCTCCACCTATCTTCAACGGTGATCAGTTCTATGTTTGGGCTGTCAAGATGAAGACCTATTTGAGAGGCCATGGTTTGTGGCAATATGTGGAGGAGGAGAGGCAAGTTCTATAGCTTGGACCAAACCGATGCTAAACTAGATGATAATTCATGAAAAAGAGTTAGCCAAAGCTCCAAGAGCTTTGTCATGCATGCACTCAACTGTCACTGACCAAGTTTTCTCCAGGGTCATGGCGTGTGAAACTCCCAAAGAAGCTTGGGATATCCTCAAGGAGGAGTTTGGAGGAAGTAGTTAGACCCACAACATGCAAGTCCTAAATTTGAGGAAAGAATATGAGATGCTTAAGATGCAAGAGGCTGAGTCTGTCAAGGAGTATGTGGATAGGCTTATGAATGTGGTGAATAAGATTAAGTTACTTGGTGAGGAGCTGCCTAATAAGAGGATAGTGGAGAAGGTCCTGGTCAGTTTGCCTAAAAGATTTGAGGCAAAAATTTCATCCCTAGAAGACTTTAAAGATCTGTCCCAAATCAGTTTGGCTGAACTTGTCCACTCACTTCAAGCTCAAGAGTAGAGAAGGCTGCTGAGGTAAGAAATTTCAAATGAGGTAGCCATGGTTGCAAGTCAGAAAGGAAGAGTATACCATAGGGAAGACAAGAAGTATGTTGGTGAAAATAAGTGAAAAGAGAAGAGTAACTTTCAGGGAGGAAAACGTGTGGAATGAGGTCATTTCCTCCATGCTCACACTACAAAAAGAAGAATCATTCAGAAAGTAGATGCTGGTTTAGACCTGACATACAATGTAGGTCATGCAAGTAATTCAGTCACATAGAAAAAGTGTGTAAAAATAAGGGAAATCAACAGGAGCAACATGCTCAGACGTTGGAGATTCAACAACCAAGTCAAGATGCTGAGCAGCTCTTCATGGCCTCATGTTTGAATAAAAAAATTTGTGGTGATGTTTGGTTGATTGACAGTGGCTGTACAAACCACATGACTCCAAACTTGGCAAGCTTTGGGAGTCTTGATAATTCCTATCAATCTAGAGTTAAGATTGGAAATGGAGGATTTATGGAGGTCAAGGGAAGAAGTGAGGTTGTCGTTCCAACTCCATTAGGTACAAAATACATTTCAAATGTTCTTTATGTGCCTGAAATTAATCAAAGTCTATTGAGTGTGGGTCAAATGTTAGGAAAGAATTACTCATTGCTTTTTCAAAATATGTCATGCATTGTAGTTGATAGTTGTTGCAATGAATTGATGAGAGTGGGAATGCTAGGACAAAGCTTTCCAATTAAGTGGAGGAAATCAGTTTCTCAAGCTTTGTCTGCCAAGCTTGATGAGACAGAAATATAGCACAAAAGGCTTGACCATTTTCATTACATTGGCCTCAAGGAGATGAAGAGGAACGACCTTGTCCAAAATATGCTTGAAATTGAGGAGAAAGGAGGAGTGTGCCAAATCTGTCAAATAGGCAAACTCAGTAGACAACCATTCCCAGCAAATCAAGCCTGGAAAGCTATTGAAAAACTTCAGCTCATACACACAGATGTGTGCGGACCTATGCAAGTCTCTTCCTTGAATGGTAGTAGGTACTTCCTCCTGTTTATAGATGATTTTTCCAGGATGTGCTAGGTGTATTTTTTGAAGCAAAAAAGTGAGGTGGTAGCAATGTTTAAGAAATTTAAGCAAATGATGAAGAATCAAACTGGTTTAAGTCTGAAGACAATTGGAAGTGATAATGGTGCATAATACAACTCAAATCAATTTGAAGAATTGTGTGTGGGAGCTAGAATAAAGCACCAACTGAGCAGTCCATACACACCACAACAAAATGGTGTGAGGTAAAGAAAAAATAGGACTGTAATAGAGATGGCTAGGTGCATGTTGTTTGAAAAAAAAACTTCCCAAAGTTTTTTGGGTAGAAGCTGTAAATACAACAATGTATTTGTTGAACGGGCTGCCAACTAAAGCCCTCGGCAACAAGACTCCATTTGAGGCTTGGTATGGAGTAAAGCCAAGCATTGACAACCTCAAGGTGTTTGGGAGTATCTGCTATGCACATATTCCAGCTAGCAAAGGAAGCAAATTGGATGA